CGGGATAATGAAATTCCAATAAGTTTGTGCCTTCTTGTTCTACTCTGTGCCATGGCATTCTAGTTAGTTATTCCTATTTTCTTGAGGTACCTCTCATCTACGTCCTTCTACCTAGTCGGTAACTCTGCACCTGACTCTGCTGAGTGTTGCCTTTCTCAAGTTAATAAGCTTCAAGGGAATATCAAATTTCTCCATTGCTTCATACAGCTAATTTCTCTTGATACTCTCGTACGCTACCTTAATCTCAATAAAAAGATTTAAAGTCTTAATACTATAAAAATTATATACAAAATATAAATAATAAATATTTTTTCTTGATATTTTGCTTCATTTGTTATTTAGTAGATGTCGCCACAACAGAAAATATTAAAATTCCACTATATAAATAATAAATATTTTTTTGATAATTTGCTTTATTTGTTATTCAATAGATGTCGCCACAATAGCAAATATAAATATTCCAAAATATAAATAATAAATATTTATTTTCAATATTTTGCTTCATTTGTTCTTCAATAGATGTCGCCAAAATAGAAAAGATTAATATTACAAAATATAAATAATAAATATATTTTTTGATAATTTGCTTCATTTGCCATTCAATAGATGCCGCCACAGTATAAAATATATATTTTACAAAATATAAATAATAAATATCCTTTTCTTGATATTTTACTTCCTTTGTTATTCAATAGATGTCGCCACAAAAGCAAATATTAATATTCCAAAATATAAATAATAAATATTTCTTTTCAATATTTTGCTTCATTTGTTATTCAATAGATGTCGCCACAATAGCAAATATAAATATTCCAAAATATAAATAATAAATATTTTTTTCTCGATATTACGCCTCCTTGGTTGTTCAATAGATGTCGCCACAATAGCAAATATTAATATTCCAAAATAAAATAAAAAGTTTTCTCGATATTTTGCTTCAATCGTAATTCAATAGATGCCGCCACAATAGAAAATATTGATATTACACAACATTAACTCTTATTCTTGGGTACAACAGCCTATGATAGGCCAAGGCCGTTCCAACAAGTTTTTTAAATCTTGATCTATTCTTTGCCATGGCCTTCCAGTCAGTTATTTCTATTATCTTCAGATCCGTCTCAACTGCGTTCAGCCACCTAGTCGGTGGACGATCGCTTTTTCTTGTACCTTCTGGTTTAAAAAAAAGTTGCTTTTTTGCGGGGTTTTGGTCTTCAGATCTACAAAGTTGTCCCAGTAATGAAATGCGATTGACCTTAATAACATGAATTATGTCTGGTTGTTTATATTTTTCATATAACCCTTGATTGAAAAGGGTGCGTCATTTGTTATTCTCATGGATTGCTCCAAAAATTCTTCGAAGTATCTCTCTCTCAAAAATCAGCAATTAGTTCTCCTCTTTTTTATTAAAGAGTCCAACACTGACTACCATATAGGATCACAGGCCATAGGAGTGTTTTGTATATGTTAATTTTTGTCTTTTGTTTAAGAAATTTACTTTTTAGTTGGCTTTTTAAATCAAAGTAGCACTTGTTTGCTATTGCTAAACGGCTATCCATTTCGGTATTTATGTCATTTTTGCAGGTTACAGTAGTCCTAAGATAATAAAATTCATCAACANTCTCTCTCAAAAATCAGCAATTAGTTCTCCTCTTTTTTATAAAGAGTCCAACACTGACTACCCTATAGGATCACAGGCCATAGGAGTGTTTTGTATATGTTAATTTTTGTCTTTTGTTTAAGAAATTTACTTTTTAGTTGGCTTTTTAAATCAAAGTAGCACTTGTTTGCTATTGCTAAACGGCTATCCATTTCGGTATTTATGTCATTTTTGCAGGTTACAGTAGTCCTAAGATAATAAAATTCATCAACAACTTCAAATTCATAATCATTCAAATGCAACGGCATTGCCTTAGTGAGCCCTCCGTTTATCTCCATATATTTAGTTTTGTCAGCATTAATGGTTTGTCCCAATTTACTAGCTGCTACTTCAAGAGATTTGAAGTTTTCTACTGCTGATTGTCGAGATCTATTTTTTTACCTTTTTGGTACAATGGACCCGTATTAAAAAGTCAGGGACCACCCTCAGTGAAAAAAATAATTGCAAAAACATCAGTTATTAGAAAACATTTCATTTTATTATTTTAATAGTATACAAAATTTTTAATGCGAAGGTAGTTGCTGCTCTTCCTTAATTAATAAATAGAAATGAGAGATGGTTTTCGACAAAGCAACGCGCATATCAAGTTCAACATTCAATTGATTTCGATGTTTTGATTTTATTGTCACAAGTGTGGAAAATCTTGCTTTGTTATTGTTAAGATACACTATAGCTAGCGGAATTAGGACAGCCATAGCGCGCTTTACAAGCAATGGGTAAGTACCACATGTTCTGCGTCCATTTCTTGACGCAGTGTTTTAAAAAGACGATGATTAATAGCCCTACTTCGAATAAATTCACAGTTTTAATAACTATTGAGAAACTTCGTTTGAGCTGGTTGGAAGTGTTTTTGTAGCCAGTGCATGTCTATGTGGAAAAAAATGAGTAACAAGAACATTAGGAGACTCTATTTTTACAGACAGATTTATTGCCAAGTATCGCAGGTGCTCCATCCGTACAAAGTGGATGTAGTTTTGCTTCCCAGTCGAAGTCGTGTTTGGCAAGGAAAACATTTAACATTGCTAAAACATGAACTGCCTTTGTAGTTTGCAAGAGACTCACAAAATAAGAATTCCTCTTTGATATTATCAAGAGACACGTAATGAACAAAAACAAGAAGTTGACTACAATTCGTGATGTCTGTAGTTTCATCCAGTTGCATACTAAAGGGAAATGGTGATGCTTTCAATTCATCGATGATCTGTTTCAAGATATTGCAAGAAATTTCAACTATTCTTGAATGTATCACATCATTTGACAATGGAATTGCGTCAAGTTTTTTTCTCTGTTCCAGTCCACAAACTAATTCAACCGTTTCCAGCGCACATGGCTTAATTAACGTCTCTCCAATAGTATGCGGTTTCTTGCTTTTGGCGATACGATATGTAACTTTCCCCTGATTGTTCAAACTGAAAGCCGGTTAGTGGAGGATATTAGAGGGCTGTGTGCAGTCCGCACTGAATTTGGGGTATCTCGATCATATAGTTTCAAATACAGTGGAGCATAGTTTATACGACGATCACTTATACGACGTTTTAGTGTGGTCCCAAATCATTCCTATTCATTTTAATGTAAAAATATATCGGTTATACGTCGGTTTTTAGATTTTGTTCATGTTTATTTAATTTTTTCTTGTGTATTTTAAAAAAGGGCGGAATTTGCCAACATGAATGAAACAGAAAAGGGTGCCAATAAGAATGCTTGGATGACGACCTTAATTTTTACTAGATGACTCAAAAAACTTGACAATGTTATGAAGAGGCAAAAACGAAAAATTTTGCTATTCATCGTCCAATGTAAAAGCTCTCTTTTATCCTGCAAATTGCACAAGTGCGCTTCAGCCATTAGATTTGGCCGAGAATAGAAATCTAAAATTGCATCATAGAAAGCAGTAAGTTCAACTCGCTATTCAAAGCATTGTAGAGACTAATAGCAAGAAAATATAATTAAAGGTAACATACATTCAAATTGCTCACTGCAATTTTTCTTCTTTGGTAGTTTGTTTGTTTTGCTTTGTCCAATTTAGAAATTTATGTAAATCAGCACGTTAAACATTAAAATTAACTGAAAACAGAATTAGTTTAAGTTTTAGAAGTGAAAATCGATTATACGACGTTTTTCGGTGGTCCCTTGGCGTCGTATAAACGATGCTCCACTGTATGTATTTTCACCTTTTAGGAAGAAAAAAAAAGATCAATGACATAAATATTATTGATCCAAACGTTTTAAAAATTAGTACCCATGGACCCCTAAGGGGTCCATGAACCACAGTTTAAGAAACCCTGTTCTAGGAGGTGTTGGCTCTAGAAATTAAGACTGTACTTAAATTCACTTTTTAGATAATCTTGTAAAAAAAAACTCTGCTTTTCAAGAATTGATTGAAACTTTCGTCATCAGGACCCAGGAGAAATTTCCCTGTTTTAGCTATAGCGTAAGTTTTCAAAGTTCAATTTGTAAAATCCTTCCTTTATAGATATGAAGAGGAATTGACAAAAGCGTAACTAAAATTTATTTTACATTCATGAAAAGTAGTTCTCTGAAATACTTTTCTTTACTATTTTCTAAACATTCCATTAAAATCTTTTTACTCCTTTTATTTAAAAAATATATATATACAGTCCGACTTCTATATATACAGTCTGACTTCTATTTAACAAACTTCCGTTTTGCGATTATTTTTTTTCCCGAGGAACAGAGAACAATTTTGAAATTTTTTTGTAAAATAACTTCCAAATAGCAAAGAGAATTTTCTATTTAACTAACTTTTCCTTGAGATCCACTTTCACTATTTTCCAAAATATTTCAGAACAATTCAAACTTGTAACCGCAGTTTATGGGTGAAATGAACTTCAATTGATTTTTGAAGCCACTAAACTTATAGAAAACAGTAAAATTCCTTTTTATTTGCATTTCAAACGATTAACTCAGACAAAATTAACAGATTTGATCAGTAGCAATTAACCTTAGGAACGTAATGTTTAAAATTACTTTTTTAATAAATACAGCTATAATTTTATACAGAAATTAAGCTTTTTTTAGTTGAAAATATATGTAGCACGATAGTGTAACACTGGATAATGTTTTGCTATATTCTAGCTTTCCATGCAGATTTCTTGCTAAGATTAATAAAATAAATAGTAGATACTATCATCAATTGCTATTTTAATTATGTCTAGAGTTTATGAATTTATAACCTGTTTTATGTTGTTAAGTATTTGAAAAGGTAATTTTATATTCAGCGAATTTTCTATACAACAAACCTTTTTATTGGGATTTAGCGACTTCATTAAATACATATGTTTTGCAATAAAAATTAATAAATAAATAAGAAAGAGACAGCCAGTCAACTTTTAAATAATTTATTATGTACCCACCTGGTGCTTTCTCAAGTGTTTTTAATATTCTATTAGAAGACACAGAACTTTCAGGGAGATGCAAGATTTAACAAAAATATCTTTAAGGACTGAACAATAATTTGGCAACATAAAACAAAGAACATCGCAACAGGCATCGATGTAAAGTTAACAATAAAAAAAAAAGATTTTCAATTTAAAACAAAACTGTCAATTGTACATTTTAACAACAAAAACTTTTCTTTTATTCATTTTGAATTAAAGTATATTACACAGCCAACAATAAAAAAAAAACAATAGAGTGAAAGAGAGATAACTTCTCATGCAACAACGACATTTTCATTTATAGATATACTTTAGTTATGATTTGGAACATCTGGATAATACAATGTTAGATCTAAATTTATATTTATCTTACACGCCATCATACACGAATAGGAAGATATCCTAATTAAATGCAGGATACACAATAATAACTACACAATAAGAATCCCTAAAGAGTACACAATTATATGGGGGTGACCAAAGTATTTAAAAAGGCAAAATTGTTTCGTTTGGAAACATTCTTGACTTTTAAAACTCCTTTATTGGTAAACAATATCGAAATGTTCTTTTGGTATTATACTTACAGTTTTGATTGATAAACCGTGTATTTTAATTTGGTATACACGGTTCTGATTGCTCAACAATGTACTTTTAGTGATATCACCTACAGTTTGAACACATAAAATTTAATTTGATGAATGCTGCTATTTAAATGGGAGTATTTCTTCCTATTCGTATACTTCTAAGTTTAGTAAAATAATTCAATAGAAAATAAAATAAAAAATGTTTTAAAACAAAAGAGATCATCGACCACTTTCCTGACGTCAGAAAAATACGAGACTGCCAGCAGCTATACACATTAGGAACAAAATAGTGTATATTCACAGGTATATTTATATATATATAATATATTTATGTATAATTAAGGGGAGATGTCTAACATTGATAAACAAAGACATTTATAATAGCTACAAATACAATGCAACAAATCATATTTTACAAGATAAATTCATCACATTCTTTTTTTTATCAACTGGTAAACGCTAAAGAAATAAAGGCAATGATTCATTTGTAAGCCGAAGCTCTTTAGCAAATCCAGATTACGTTTTAACGTCCAGTAAAGTCCCTGAAAAAGAAAGGAAACATTTTATAGGACAAGAATGAGTACGAAAAACAATTAAAGACTATTTTGTGTGCTATACTAGCTGATAATTTTAACAGGGTGTGTAGCCAAATCTATCTACAACAAAAAAGCACCTTTTAAGTATTTTTTAAGCACTCAAAAAGTATTTTTAAGCACTATATACATTAACAAAATGAGAAATAATTTTTAAAGACTTATTGCCTATTATAAAATGATTGACAGATTTTTCGGTTCGATATCAGAGGGTGAAAAATTAAGCCTGAAATCGAGAATATCTTGCAAAATGCAGCAGGGTTGCTAACGAGAGTGCAAGAATCTCACGAAACCCAGTTCAGTAGACGCACATGCGGACTTGCAAGTATTTCATCAAACATGTCAAATGATTGACGCTTTCATAAGCTATGGACTAATGGTACGTCGAAATGAATTGTGAAAACATTGAATAGAACAATGTGAATAGCACGCTTTTGCATAGTACGTGGCGAAAATCGACATGGTAATGAAAAAAAAAATTTCATGTTTAAAAAGGGAAAATTAAGCACTTTTTAAAAACACCCAATGAAAAATAGCACCTTTAAGAGCCTTAAATATGGAAAATGACCACTGTTGAGTACTTTTTAAAAACGCAAAGCACCATGTTTAAGATATTTAGACATTGAAAAGGAGGATCTATAATTTAACAAGTTAGAAACAGGCTTACAGAGGGGAGGGAACAAACGTTGAAAATTGCCATTATATATTTTTATTAATGAATTTATACATTTTTATTAATTATTTGGATTTGAAAAGCACAATGGAAAATACCAAAGCAATTTTTTTTTACATTGGCAACCGAAATATACATTAAACAATCGATTGAATCTATATAACGTTAAGGTTCCAAAAATAAATTTTTTTTTTTTTTAAAAAAAAAAACTAATTCCGGATATTTTTTTATCTTAAGGTTTTGCGGGGAACTATTAGAGTCACCATACCCAATTTTGTTCAATTATGGAACTTTAAATGGTTTAATGATTATATTTGTCCTTTTCGACTCTGCAGAGTTATGTAATTTGCTGGTATGCAGTGATTGTCTCCGAACAACTCAGAGTAATAACAAAGTCGCAGGTAGTTATACAGAAAAAATGTTAAAGTTTCTTCATTTTTATGACAAGTCTGTAGCCATTGTTTCAGAACTTCTTTTCTCTTATTGAAAACATAATTAAATATTCCTTCTATCGAAAAATATGTGCAATATATTTTTTAAAAAAGAAATCTGGATATGACTATTCAGTCTAAAATTCAACATCACAAAGAAGCCCAGCAAAAAGTGTATTTCAGATATATGTTCACATAAATGTTCAGATACTCACTTTTAGATGAAGTAATAAATGGAAATACTCAGTATAGGTCTTGTTGAATGATGTCGCATATTTTTTATTCTTTTTTTCAGACATTTCAGTCAATATTTTCAGGCAAAATCAAAAAAAAGTCCAGCACCACATGAAACGTAATAGAGGTCGGAGACGAAATTTAAAGCACAAACAAAAAATCAATTAATTTCCCAATGCGAGAGATTGATCTTAAATCTTTGTTGAAGATACGTTCACGAACTCAAAAGAACAACCAATCAGAAAACAATGCTTCCAAAGAGAAAGGCGGGGCATAAGCAATGACGAATTCAAAGGATTGGTTATGATTGGATGAGAGGTACGGGTCGGTGCCGCATATACGTTTATCGTAATTGCGCAGAGAATCCTCATTCCGCGAGGAAATAATAATAAAAAAAACAGAGACTTTTGATGAAACCCCGGAGGCTTAATTATCGTTTAAAAAACCGGAGGGTTGGCAGGTCTGATTGTATAACCGCAATTTTTTTTTCTCAAGCAACAAAGTTTAACTCATTCATTAGTTGAACTGATTCATTTGATGACTTTTAAATTACTTAAACTGATTCATTGATTTGTATTTTCAAATTTTTTATTCACCAATTTATTTAATTTATTCCTTGACAGATTCATTTATTTTGTGATTTTTAATTCACTGATTGATTTTTAATACACCAATTGTTTGATTTCCTTATTTATCAATTTATCTACTCATCAATTATTATCTGTTCAAAAACTTATTGATTTTAATCATTGATGCCTTTATTCTATTCTTTCTACACATAGTCAATTTTATGCAGAATCCAGTTTTTACTGATATACTTGCAAATTAAGAATGAGTTCTAACAGAACCAAAATGAAGTTTCATTTTGAGTCTTTTTAACCATTATCCTTCCAAACAGAAAATTTAAAATATCGAAACTAGAGCGGCTACAAACACTTAAAAAAATTCCCCCTTCTACTGATTTTATTGAATTTTTCCCTGATATTTGTTATTCAAAATGCCTTGAATTTTATTATTAATTTTTCAGTCATACCTTGTGTATATAAAATATACTACATAACACTTATACTCACTATTAGAATTGTATGAATTTGAGAAAAAATATTACAAAACTAATATTTCAAAGAAAAAAAATCTTTGACTTTAATGTATCTTGAACTTAAATTAATTCGAATTCCTGAATGATGGAGTTCCCAGATGGGGTTGATCCTCAATAAGTAAAAAAAAATTTCCTGTGTTTTCCCTATACATAGTATACACAATATATTAAGGGGAAGCACACAATCACTATACTCTTGCCGGAGAGCTATATTAGGCTAGTTTTATTTAATTACTAGAAAAAATTAGAAAAGTAAACAGCTGAACATACTTAAGACAAATAATGCTACAGTAAATGAAATAATTTAGTATAGCTGAAATAGCATCCTTAAATATTCTATAGACTGTGCTTTGAGTGGTCACCATTTTTTGAAAGAAAAAAATTAATTAATTCCTCGCTGTATTTTCCCTGTTGGTAAAGAAATACACAAATTTTCCTGTTATTTCAGGTCATTTTTTAAAAATTCCCTGTGGAGTGGCAACCCTGTTTTCATAATTTCCTTGTTATGATGGAAAACAATTAACATACATACCTTTTTTTAAATCTTTTCAGAGTGCACCAAAGGGGTCATTAACAGATGTTGTTTGTGTGGGCAACCCAGAGGTTGCAGTTGGCATAAGAGGCACCTGAGGGACAAATCCACTACCATATGCAGGCTGCCCAACAGGGCGCACACCCCCTGCCTGAAAATACAAATATCAATTAAGTAAAACATTACTATAAAATGAGTAGATAGCAATGGACAATGTTAAGACGCTGTAATGTCACTAACATTGTGATTTTGATACATTGTGATGTTCCGTTACACCAATATTTTGCATTTGGTATTGTGTCATTTCGAATTCTTGCACTTTTTGATTGATAAATTGAGGTACTTATATTCTTGCAATCAACTCAATTCTCGGTTACCTTACAAAAAATGCTATAAATCTAGTTATCAACAAAAAAATCTTTTTCTTAAGAAAAAAATCAATAAATCACAATAGTGACTTGATGTATTGAAAATAAAAATAAAAAATTGAATAACTTGCACAAGAGAGAGGAAGGGGGAAGACTAACATCAAAAATCAGCCTGCTGCTGCCTATGTCATTAAATTATGAGGATAAAAATCAAAATGCACATTGAGATCTTTTATAAAAATCTTCATAAACACAAAAATAAAAACTGAAAACTTAGGAGCAGCTGGCGTAAAATGCACGTAACTTCCCAGTCTTATCTTAAATTCCTTCAGTCCTTATCTTAAATTTAGTTCATTACTATCCATAAAAATAAAAAAAAACTCTTCGCGCAAAGCTCGTGGTCACCCATTTCATAGTCACAGGGATGTGATTGACAAAAACAGAAAAAAGAGGAAGTTTATAACTGTAGCATTAAACGTGCAAAAGAAAAAATGATATGAATTCCATAGCCAATCTGATAATGATTACATTATTATCTATTCATATAAATAAATGGTAATTATGTTCTTAAATAAAATCTTGATTAAAATAATTTTTTTTAATAATTTAGATAACTTTGAGTAATTATGCATAAGCACGATTTTGTGTATCACATCATTTTAAAAAACATTTCTTTAATGGTCAAAGGACCTTTATGGACTTTCTCATCAGTTCTTTGTTTTTTCGATGGTCTTTTTTTAACATGACTGATCTGTAGACTGCGTTTTGCAGACTTTTGATCATCAGTGTTGATAGGACAAGAAAGTTTATTTCGCACACAATTTTTAGAGGCCTTAGATTAAGAATCGCGATGTTGGATTTTAAAATTGCGTGAATAAGAATCGCGATGTTCGATTTTAAAATAGGGTGAATAAGAATCGCAATGTTGGGTTTTAAGAGTGTGTGAATAAGAATCGCGATGTTCGATTTTAAAATAGGGTGAATAAGAATCACGATATTGAATTTTAAAATCACGTGAAAAAGAATCACAATATTGGATTTTAAAAGCAGGAAAATACAAATCGCGGTATTGAATTTTTAAATCTCGTAAATAAAAATCACGGTGCATAATTTTTAGAGTCCGTGAATACTTATCGCAACGAGTAATGTTTAAACCGCGTATAAATACGAAAATCGATGTTTGATATTACAACCGCGTGATAACGAATCGCAATATTGAAATTTAAAAATATATATGAATACGAATCGCGACATTGGATTTTAAACTAGCGGGAATATGAATCGCGATATTGGGTTTTAAAAACGTTTAAATACAAATCGCGATATTGGGTTTTAAAAACGCTTAAATACAAATCGCGATATTGAATTTTTAAATTGCGTGAATGGGAATTGCGAGTAATGATTTTTAAATCGTGTAAAAACGTATCTCAACAAGTAACTTTTAAATCAGTTAAATACGAAAATCGATCATTTACATAAAAATCATCTAAATAAGAAATTTTAGCAGATTCTGGCCCAGTTCCTTATATTTAAAATTCTGTAAATCAGCTAATCAAAGGAAATCAAATATCAGCGGTCGAAACGAAACTGCTAAGGACTTTTTTTCCTTTTTCCAATCTATAGCGGAAGTCGCAGTTGTCAAGGCAACGGCGTACATGCCGAAATTCTATCCATTTTCTTCTGAAGATCATTTTCTCAGGAGGCTACTGCAGGGGAAGGGGAGTTCGTCGCAAGTCCGACTATATCGTTAGTTCGACTCCCCAAAAGTTTTTGGAACATGGTCGGAAATTTTAAAAAGTCTTTCATCCCTGGAAAGATAAGAGAGTAGTGGAGTAGGAGACTGCTTTGTTTTACCAAGGTCAACCACTTTCACCCCAGCCAGCTGATTGACATGTGAAGAAAGGTTTATTGGAGGCTTCAATACTTTCGCTCCGAGGAAGAAAAAAAATTTTCCAACAAATATCATTCACTGCATAAAAAAAATTTCCGCGCGGAAATTTATGAAAAAAGAGCGGAAGATATGGAAAAATCTGAAAAAAGTGGAAATCAGCGGATCCGCGGAAGAATCACATCCCTGCAGTCAGAAAAAGGGCTCATAGCGCATAAATAATGCTCACCATCGAGTGTTGAGACATGGATGTCAACAACGCATCGTGAAACACCACACATTTCGGTAAATCGCAATTTTTGATGCTTCGAAAAATTGCAAATTGACTGCGAAAATTTTAACATAATTTGTGAAAATTAAAAATTCTGTTAAAAAATCAGCACAAAAATATAGTAAAGTAAGAAAATATTATAAAAATTTGTCACTTCAAATAAAAATCATTTATGACTGGTAAATTTCTATGTATTTTTCCCCGTACATTCAAAAACAATTTTGCTATTATTAAAAAATTTTATATAAATTTCAAAATCCAAAAAAATTGTCTACAGTTAAATTTCAACTTGAATTTAAAAATTAATAAAAACATGCATTAAACAGTACCAGCAGTAAAAGCTATTTTAAATATGAGAACATTTACAATTGGGTTATAGAGAAAAAAGTTTCACAGAGAAAAGAATGGTTTATAAAAAAATAAAGGTCGGTTAGAATAAATTTACAATAGTGTTTAAAATGATGTTCGAATTTTGACCTCCTGTTTCATTTTAAAAAACTCAGCGGGAAAAAAAACACAATTTGATATGGCGTAAGTGACCGGTTAAGCTTACCATAAATAATAAAGGTATAAAAAAATAAAGGTCGGTTAGAATAAATTTACAATAGTGTTTAAGATAATGTTCGAATTTTGACCAACTGTTGTTTAATTTTAAAAATCTCAGCCGAAAAAAACAGAATTTGATATGGCGTAAGTGATTGGTTAAGCTTACCATATTGCACTATCTGACCCAACATGTGCCACCTTTTTCGTATATGACAGCTGGCAGAAATGCTCTTTTCCATAGACTGTAACGAGAACGGAGTTTGCGAGAGAACTTGCATTTTTAAAAGTATTTTGTGAAACTACTGTTTCTCCTGAAGTTGAATTTGTGAAGGTACAGCTAAACGGCAGTAAATTCACCCTGGACAGACCCCCGATCACGGAGTCTAACATCAGTCCTCGTAAACCCGAAATCGGGTCGGCCGCTCGATAACGGTTGTAAAATAAAACACTTTTCAAAAAATATGAAAATTAATTAAACTAGCTTTACTGGGATTCTGCTACTGTATCAGAGGAAGAAATGACCATGTTTGGGGACCTTTATTTCTGTAAGGCGATTGAAAAAATAAAACTTTTAAGAAAAGTTCTTATTATACAATTAGTAAAATTAAAATTGTTCACAAAAATTAAGAAGTTTGAATTGAGCTACATTATTAATTGCTAAACTATATTTAACATCAAATATTAGTCATTTATCACTTTGTTTAAAAAAGGTACTTACCATATATATATGCTGAAAAGACACCAATTTACAAATAAATGGTAATTCATACAACAATATTTGAAGCAGCAAAGTATGAGGGGTACTACTTACCATATAAGGTTGCTGAAAGACACCAGGTACAGCAGGCTGTTGAGGAAATGCACCTCCACTCCATTGACCTCCAGATAGTGGATTTTGGGTCTAAAAATAAAAGGAATTCAGTGTAAGGGTTGCCACTGATATTTGTACAGATTATACACAACATGTTAAGAGGAAACACACATTCACTGCGATCTTGTGAACTATATTAGGAAATAAATACACAAGTGGGCGACCTTTGTGCTAAAATACAAACTAAGGTAAACAACGTTAAAGAGCACAAAAATATTATTAATATTTTTGTGCTCTTTAACATTGTTTACCTTAGTTTGAACAATATTAGGATAAAGATGCTAGCTTTAGTTGCTGGAAAAACTTGGAGAAATAAGAAAACAGCTCAACATAAAACAAATAATGAAAGAATAAATGAAATAATATATCATACCTGCCAATATCAGAGAAATAAAATAACGGAGATTTTACAAGCGACATATTTTGGGCTACATGTAAAGCTTCGATACGTCATGCATAATATTGTAAGTCAAAAAGGGAAGATCAAAATTGGAAATAATACAAGCACTTACATTTAGCGAAGTAAAAAAATATGTACACAATTCTTAATCTAAAGATGATTTTTTTAAACTATTATTCATATTTACTTAAACTATTAACACTCAACATACTGCAGTACTGGCAATAGCACCATCTGTTGAGGAATAAAAGAAGTATTTTTGCCATCAGCGGATATTTTATCGTATTTTTTTTTAATTTTATCAACGAATGCAGAGAAATTTGAGAATATACGGGTGTGCGGGAGATAGCCGTAAAATACAGGAGTCTTTGTTAAAAAAACTTGAGACTTGGCAGGTATGTGTATACAAGAAATACTACTCTAGGAGAGTCTCAAAACACAATGATCACGTTGTGAGCCAAATGGTTTCAAAACACACCAAAACCCAGAAGTATAGATAGTCAAGAGCTTACTGCGCCTCCTGGTGTAGAAAACACCATTGATCATAAATTGTTATGATGGACTTTAACTGTATACATGTTTCAGCCATGATGGTTTAGAGAATAGAGCGTTTGCCTTCCAATGAGGTGAACCAGCGATGGCTTGCACAGACCACAGTGCTGAAGTAAAATATCCTCAGTGGTAAACGGTAGATCGGTGGTAGTGGTAGATCATGGGTTAGAGTCCACTTGATGTCAGGCTAATCAAGGGAGCTTTTCCTCTTCATGTAACACAAATGTGGGTTAGTTCCATTAAAAAGTCCTCCACAAAGGCAAAATGTCTCAATACTTGATTGAGAAGTCCCCTTGTCTTCTGGATGGAGTTCAAAATGACAAGGCTATGAAGTTGAACATTAGAAGTCAAACTCAAAATTGGGTCGGGTGTTATAACAGTTATAACAGGGTTCCCACTCAATTTAAAAAAAAAAAAAAAATTCAAGGTCTTTTCAATGACTTTCAAGGACCTAAAATCAAATTTTTCACGGACCTATACGCTATTGTTATATGCTAAAGTACATGTCAACCAGATCTTACAATTACGTAGAAGCAGAAATTGTATAATTTTAAATCACAATGCTTATTCGACAAAAAAAATTTTTTTTTATTAAGTTTATCAGTTAATAATACAAACGGTTGATAGTTACATTGCTGTTTCAAATCACTTAGAAAAATTTCAATTGAAAAAAAAACAAAAAAAAACTCCAATTGAGATAAGATATTAGCCAACATTTAAAAACTAGCATCACTGAAACTTTTCATGAAAAATTTAACGAAGTGAATTAGAATTAATGAAACTGAATGAATGTATAATGCATATTATACAGTCATTCAGTTTCTTTCAAACAAGCACAGTAAATAATTGATAAAGTTTGTGTAATTGCATGGTTATTAAAATATATAGACTTCTTTTAGCTTTTTTTTTTAATATGTTAGATCAAATGTTAGTTAACTGAAAATGTGTATAATTAGCTAAATTATCAATTTAACATATCTGTTTCAATTTTAATAGCAAATTTTCTATTTTGTTACTTCAGAATAACAGTAATGTATTTTGAACATAATAAAATCTATTGAAGAGCAATATTTTACAGATAACTAACTAAGACTTACCAAGCTTTATATTCCTTAAAATATATAGATAAAATGTGAAACGGGATCTTTAAAATTTTGTGAATATGGGTAATTTTCACTAAATCTCATTTATACGAAAGCACAGTGGGTTTTGTGGCCAAAATTAGTATTTCGATATAATTTGCTTCAAAATTTTTTATGTGCAGGTAAATTGAATTCATAGTTAAAATTTTGAAATACACTAAAAATACCCCCCCCCCCCCAAAAAAAAATGGCGGTTGAAATATGGCAAGCAAAAATAAATAAAAAAATTTGGTAGGTTTAAATAATTAAATATAGCAATGAAAATATAATAATTTTCGTAATTTTATATTAAAAATGAAAAGCAAATTATACTTCTGAAGTAATATTACAAAATAACGCAAAAACATGAAGGAAAAAAAAAACAAAATTTGTTTTTTGGTATATATAGTCCACCTTTGTAATACGAGCAAAATGGGGCACGTTTTTTAGAAAGAAACATCAAAGAAGACAACAAAAAAAAAAGTTTAGCTAAATACCTCATGAAACCTTTTGGAACTAATTTTCGAAAGTCATTCAAACATTGTAAAATGTCAAATGATAAGATATAAACTATAAGTGTGTCAAGAGTATTAACTAATCCAACAAATTGAAAAATTGTACTATAATTTAACACTAATTACTCTGATACAAATGTAACAGTAAGGCGAAATTCCTATATATATTTCTGAAATAAAAATTTAAAAGTTACATTTAAAAAAATTTTTTAACATATTTTTCATTAAATTGTACTCTTGTCGGTCCAAAAAGTAAATTATAATGTTTGGAAAGATTATGAATACTTAATTTGGGATACATTAAAACTGCCTACACATATTTTAGTTGAAAAATTAATTTTTTACTTTTGGCCAAAGATCATAGTTTTCTGGCCCACAGTGGAAAGTGAATTAAGTCTCGAAGATTGCGTAAATCACGTATCACAATGTGCAATTTGTAAATTGAAATTGAATTAAGGTGTACGTTTCTTAAATCGGAATAATGTGAATAGCAAATTATATCAAATGCACAAACTAACAAGACATAAACCACAATGTAAGATACATAAATCACTTTAATGTGAATTCTGTTGTGTGATTAGCTAATAGTTTTCATTTGAATAGTGATCATTATCAGGGGCCTGTTTAGAAGAAATTTTGGTCCGTTTCTTTTCATAAAAATGGATCCTTCACAAAATAATTTCATCTCTTAATCGGACCCTTCACAAATTTATCTTCATTATCGTTTTGTTAATCGAATAATATGTATGTCTCCCAGGAAGGGGGGGGGAAAGAGAGATAGATGTAAACGAACTAAATTTTGTCTTCGGCAGACACTTCTTTTATTCGTCCGAAATGAATATTCTGCATTCAGCAATTTAGGCTAAATACCAAATATTTGTATGTTGCAGTGCTAATTTAATAGCTGCAATTGCTGTTTATTTTTTAAAATTAAATTTTTGTAATTATAATTCTACAGTGTTGAGCATTATCTTGTATGTCTTTACAATTTAAAAACTCCTTGAAAAAGTTTCTTTGCAATAGCGGACCCTATTTGTACAAATTCATAAAAGCGGACCCTGGTTGTTTATTTTATATTCACAAATTACGAGTAATCTTTGCACAATTTTACAAAAACGGACCTTTCACAAAATGTCTGGACAGACCCTTGATTATGATGCAAATTTCAATTTGGGATTCAAATGGTGCTTAATATAGAACAGCTATGTGTGATTCTTAAATCATTTTGATGAAAATTGTGGGTGGTAATTCTTAAATCTTTCTCTTGTGAATTGCAATGCGTGAATTGTAAACTACTAGAATGAGAATTGAGGCACGATTCTGAAATTACATACCTTATATGATTCAGAAATAACTTTAAATTGAAATCATGATGTGTGATTGATAAATCACTTAAGATGAATCATGATGCGTGATTGATAAATCAGTAAATGTGAATCATGATGTGTGATTGATAAATCACTTAATGTGAATCATGATGTGTGATTGATAAAATATCTTAATATTAATTCTGATGAGTAATTTGAAAATCACTTTAAAGTAATATTCGATATGTGATTCATTAATCACTTTCAGTTAAACCGCAATTCATAGACCATTTTATATGAATTCCGGTACGTAAATCAAGAATTAGTTTAATGTGAATCACGATGTTTATTCATAATCAATGAAATCCGTAGAACTAAATTTTATTTATTAGCAGTAAAAACTAAATTTAAAAATTTGAATATAAATTATAAAAAATTTATTATTCTTCGCACATATATTAAAAGAACAAATAGGATAACACTATTAACCTGTCATAATAATGGAGTTAACACATTGAACATATTTCTAAATCAATTAATTATATTTCATTCGAAAACTATGACTAAAAAACCTAAAATTTGCTAGAAATTTCAGCATTCAAAACATCAGAGAGATTAACAAGAATCTGGTCTGAAAAATCCAGGAGAGACAAGTTTTGCATCACCTTTAACCCCTTTTCACTTCAAGCATTAAAAATTGCATCGATCAGAATTTCTTTAATTTTCCTTTGAATTTATTTAATATTATTTTAACTCTTTTGTTTTTATTATACATTTTTGTAAGAAAAATTAGTAGTATTTTAATTCCTAAAAAATCAAGTACTTTTCAAGTACCCTATGGCAGAATTCAAGGACTTTTCAGGGCCCTGATTATTTTCAACCAAATTCAAGGACTTTTAAGGTCTTTCAAGTACCGTGGGAACCCTGTATAATGTATATATGTTTAACCATCTGCTGGAATCCCAGCGGAGGAAAGGCAGAGTTTTTAATAATAACAGACCATAAAAAAATAATAAGATCCTTTTATTACCATTTGAGGGAACCCATGTTGAGGAGAGGCAGACCATCCTACATTACCAGGAGGTACAGGTACAACAGAGGCTGGTGCAGTCCACTGACCAGTAGGACCTGTGGTTTTAACTGGAGGTTTTGGTGAGCCCCATTGATGACCACTGCTTCTAAAATGATTAACAAAACTATTATTTAAACATTTATGAGCAACTACTAGAGAACTCAACTAAATTACATGTTACCCTAAAAAGCTGTTCATGTGCACATTACCTCTGCTACTCTGCAGATTAAGAGATTTGCTTTATTTATTTTTTTTATCAATATACAAAAACTTTCTCACTAAAAACTATAAATGGTCGTCAATATGATTGACATTAAATGAACTTGAAATGATTATTATGTTAACTCATAGTTTTGAGTACTGATAAACAAGCAATTTATTAGTCATAATTGAAAGATTTTTTTAATTAATTTAAAAAGGGAAAAATTAAACAGAAATATAAACAGAATAGAACAAAAAAAAAAGGCTTGAAACTGATGACTAAAAGGCTTGCTTCATTACGTATTCATAATACTTATATTTAAATATTTAAAAATGTTAAAATTCTATTTCAATAGGGATTTTTTTTTAAGGAAACTCACTCAGTTCTAGGGAATTTTCTAAAATGTACAAAAACCAAAAGAATTTTTATTAAACCAGTAGATCAGGAAAAAAATGGCAAAATCCAGTAGAGTTGACAAATCGTGTTATTTTAAATGTACAGAAATGCTGCTGTTCCAGCAAAGATTGTATTTTCACTTTAAAAAACCCTAACAGTAATGTGTATATTATCAAGGTAATGACTAGATTACCAAGTAATTAAAAAAATTATCAGCACTTTAACTGATAACTCTAGTTAAGCTACATATTAACTTGATAATCAGGGTTCACATTTTCCTGATTTTCCAAGTTTTACAATAAAAATCTTAAAATTTCCAGGTCAGTGTGCTTTCTTTTCCTCATAACGAAAAGTGTCAATAGTATTTTATTCAAAATTTTATTTTTTTAAACTACATCTTGAATAGATGTGGAGAAAATATGTTTAGTTTGTAGAATATATTGCTTTTAATGAATAATTTTTTTTTTAAAAGTGTTAAGTAATTTTTGCACAAAATGTACCAAACAGCAAATACAGACTAAAATAATAATTCTCGGATAAGTACTGTTTATTATATTTTCATTAAACAAAAGAAAATAACTCCAGGCGATTATACATCAATAAATTTTTATATTTATTTACATTTCAATATAGAGCTATTTTATACTGTATTTTATCCAAACAATGCTCTTTAAAAAATGTATTGATATTAATTTTCTTTAAACCAATTTCTAAAGTCAAATGTTTAAATAATGTTTGTTTTGAATGCCAGAAAAAATGTGCAAGATAAAATTTATTAAATTATAAAAAAATTATTTTTTGGAGAATTTTATAAAATTAAAAATACTAAAACATTTTGAATAATTTTGTTAAAAGAAAAAAATAGCCTCAAAGCATCGGAACAAACTTGAACTATAAATGGATTCAGCCGAGGACTAGAAGAAAAAAAGCCTACTTTTAAAAACAGAAGCAAATATCCTTACTAATTAGTTAATCTTTTTCACCACTATCACCACAGTTTTTTCCTTTCCTAAACTGCATAGTCCCAAAATCTCCAAAGAGGTCAAAGATTTCTCCATTTATTAGCAACATGGGAGAGTTTACTATGGCATTCTAGTTTAGCAGGGTAAATAATGGAGAGAATTTTAATGCAGACAAAGTATTGCTAAGTTGATAACATTTCAAATGTTGGGTGATAAATTTTCGTCTAAATAAAGAGGATATAACAGATGGTAAAATAATTTAAAATAAAAATTAAAAAAAAACTCAGCTTTTTTTAAAAAATTTCCTGATGTTTCCAAGATAAAAAAAATTCCCTGATAATGACAGGTTGGAAGCCAATCTGATAATTTGTAAAATAACTGATTTCCGCAGCATCATAAGCAGTAAGACCGGGTGCATCTAAAATAATTGGGACCACACCTACTTTGAATAATTTAAATTTCTCGATGGTATATGGGTTTTGTTAAATATATTTTAATCAGTTAACTGTGGAAAACTTTTGACTTTTCAAACATTAATGTCAGGATCAGGCCTTACGGTTGAAGGCAACTTTCGAATAAAAGAGTTATTTTTCGATAATAAAGTTGAACAAAGGAGCTAACTAAATTTTGAAGAAAAAAAATTTTTTAGCAAAAAGGTTTAAAATTCCCCAGGGCTAATAATAAATACGTGTAAAACATGCAAAATCCCTGATCTGAAGCTGCTGTGAAATCATGAGTGTTTGAGAGGGAGCGACTTATTCAATAGAATGTCTTATATGATGCTATGTCTCATATGATGATCTCATATATCCAAAAAATATGCTATTGTAACCATTGAGACTGTATTGAAGTGATCTGATCTATTGATAGATTTTAATCATTCACAGACTTCATATAAATAAAATACTTCATATAAATAAAATAGAAACTATCCATCTATTTAAAAATATCTCCCCAAGATATTTCTAAAATATCCGATCTCTCTTTTATAAAGCTTATCGACATTATAACAGACCTTAATCTACTAGCCCTCATTTCTGCTGCAGCAAACTTAACTGTATAATTTTAATAACCAACAACAAGATTTCTTACAACTGCTACAAAATATTTAAATTAAATCTTACTATAATTAAGGATCACAAATTTCTTCCTCAGTGGGAAAAAAATTTTACAAATGGACAAAAATCATGTTACTGCTTCGTGTCACGTACAGGGTGCACCCTTCTTAACTCACCTTTGCATTAATTTTAAATGCTTTCACGTGAACTGATTAATCAGCTATACATTGTCTGAAGTGAAAACTCTCACCTTCTCCTTTACTGCATTCATAAGATTAACACACTTATTACTTAGATTATCACCCAAGTTAAACTTTAAAAAATAAATAATTACTTCTTGATGGCTTGCTTGGGACCATTAATATCAAGATTGGAAGCTAAACTTGCAAGTGTTGAATCCAGATCGCCTTTTAATATGCTTGATCCAGATGTTTTTTCGGAAACAGGTTGCTGCTTTGCTATTTGTGCTTGGGGTTGAAGCGTGTCTCCAAATGCATCAAATCCACCTAGGATAGTTTTAAAAATAAAATAACACATTTGACGCAACATAATTATGACAAAAATTCCTTTAATAACTCAGTTTTAAAGCCTCACCTAACTGAAATTTGGGGAGGGGACTTCATAGATGATAAATTTTAAAAAATTCACACCCATGAGTTAAGTGCTGTTTTAAAAGTTTACAGTGTTTCAAAGTTTACAGGACCCTTTAAATTTATTAACCACATCAAAGAGGAGTGGAATTTGAATTAAAAAAGTTGTTAAACATCAGGAATAGGGAACCATTGTTGCATCTAATCTTGATAATAAGTTAAATTTGATTAATAATATTAATAGCTTTTTTTTAAACTTATGTTTATGATTCACATCAGTTTATAAAAGTAAATCTAGCAAAATGTTGATTTTTGTGTTATACTATCATACTATGGGTTTCTTAATCATACTATATGTATCTATATTACTATTTTCGTAATAAGATCTTTTAATTTCAATTAAAAAAAATTTTTTAAATACTGAATAATTAGCTCAACATTGAAAAGTTTAGAATTTTATAGAAACATTAAGTGATATTTTATTCACAACACTGAAATTTATAAGTTTAAAATAGGATAATTTTAATAGAACAAGTTCATGACATTACATCACTTACAAATGTTTTGCTATAGAACGGAAACCGCAAATATAGTACGCTTATAAATCTCATAGTGAGCAATGTTCCTGCAATAGAATTGTTTTCAGAGGATATTCTATGCAAATTTTAACACACTCTCTCTCTCTCTCGACAAAGATCAAATTAATAAAAATGACAGCTTCATAAAAACACTTTAATACAAAAAAATTCTCTCCACTAAGTTTCAGTTAAAAAAAAAAAAAACTTATATGTATTTTAAGCATTTTATCACAAAACAGTTTGTTACACAAAAATATACAATTAACTATTTCAGAAACAGTTTACCACCTTCAATATCATAGGCGACAACCACGAATCTGCCACTTTAGCAATGGGCAAATTTGCAGCAGCACAAATATGGTGACATTCCCACTCTTTTTAAATATTAGGAATGATAACATTTAAAAGGTACAACGACAAAGTTATAGGAAGAAAAAAAAACATGCGTGTTTGGACATGCAGGAAAAGGCATAAGAGACACACGGGTGGGGGTATAATAGAGAGCACTGTCACCTGGCATAGCAGCTCCAAATCCTGTAACAGATTTTGCGGGAGAACTCATTCCGGATGGGGGTGTTCCATATCCAGGAGTAGAAGATGCTCTGCCGGTGGGGGTGCCGGCAGCGTTATCGAGCCGTGTCAGAGAGGCAGGAGGTGGGGTGGCACTGCCAAAGGGAAGACCAGGTGCAAAAGCAGGAGATATCGGTTGCCCGACCATACCTGGTCTAGGCCCAGGAAACGAGGGAATCATAGTCGGAGAAGCTGCTAAAACGGGCGATTGTTTTGGCTGCATTGCCTGGTGGATGGCAAAATTCAAATCTTCCAGTCCACTTGTAGAGCTGAGGGGTTTTGGCTGGGCTGGCATAGGCAATGCAACTCCAACAGCATTAGCAATAGCTTGTGCCCGTAAGTCGGACGTCGGTCCGACAGACGTCAAGCCGATGTCTAGACCTCCGAAAGGGGATGGCGGAGGAGCAACAGGCTGTGCAGACAGAGGTGCTTGATCGTTTAAATAATTTATTTCATTGCTCTCGAAACCAAACAAGTCCTTTTCGGGAGCAGCAGCTGTTTGAGGTTGAACAGTTAAAGGAGTCACAACAGCTGTTGGTACAGTGGTAGCAGCTGGTAAAGGTTCAAAAGAAGTTCCGAAGAAATCGTCAACTGCGGTTGTAGTTGTTGTGGTGATTGCAGAGGATGTAACACTACCCCATGCGTCTGAAGTTGCCTCATGACTTGCAGCCGATGTGACAGGGACAGTTGCTTCTTCGGCAGTTTCTACTGCTTCCCCAAAGCCTCCCTCTGGCACATTGGCTAGTATGGGAGTGGTACCGGCACCCCGCATTAGTTCTGTGGTAGGAGAAGGAGAGGTGGAGCGACCCCCAAAAGGCTCCATGACAGGAAGACTTAGTTTTGTAGTGCTTTTCTCTACAGCTGAGAAGAAAATTAGTTATATCCAGGAAAGTTAATAGTGAAAGAGGTGCATAAAACATTTCAAGTACAATCTAATTTTTGCACAATTCAAGGACAATCTAATTTTGTGCACAATTCAAGTACAATCTAATTTTTCTAATTTCTTAAAATTTAAAAAATTAATTCCAAATGATTAAGTAATAAATTCCATAAGAACAACGAGGACATATCCCTTCCTTGATTCCTACATATACATAAACTTAAAAATTCTAAAAGTAAAGAATTTTCGGCAAACGCTTCAATTCTTTGTGATAATCCAATATAAATATAAAGCATTGCTTAAAAATCAGTTTCTTCAAGTCTATGAAATTAAACAAAATATTTTTATTTAAGATCTTGTAAAAAAAATTGATTGCATACTTCAAGAAAACAGATATTTTCCATCACTATATATTAAAATATTTTTAAAAATCTCAACCTGATTTCTGTGTGATTTATGCATTAAAATACTTTATGCACCCTGCAGATGTTATTAGATTAGAAATGATGAAAAAGAATGTTATAGTCAGTCAATAATACACAACTAAAGCATCACATGCAGCAAAAGCAACTATGTACAACATTTCAGGATGTTGCAATTCAAGTAATTTTGTCAATTCAAGCAAATTTCTAATCAGATTATTTTTTGTAAAAATCCATTGAAACATCTGTAATAAAAACACTTCTTTAAAATTTAAAAAGATTTTGGAAGAACTACTTAACTCGATAAAAACAAATCAATGCTCTATAATTTAAACCTTGTATCTTATCAGAAATCAGTAGATAATTGTACAGTTATTAACATAGCTGCAAACACAAAAGGACGAAAATCCAGTATACAACAGGAAGTTAGAATTCTCAGGAGACTAGGTTGAAATATAATTTCCCCATTAAAAGTACAGTAGGACCTTGATTATTCGAAGTAGTTGTAATAAAACCTGCCCTTTATTTTCACGAATTTACTAAGATAGATTGGTCTTTTCTTAGTCACTACAGGGTGTGTAGTTAAATATTTCAGCTAAAAATAAGCACATTTAAAAAAGAAATCCAAAGCATATTATCAATTAAAATCTCAATTAATTCTTATCTTTATTAAATTAAATGGATAAAAAGGAGATGGAAATTTTGAGATAAAACTGTTTCTGTACTACTCTGGGGACCCACATGAAAATACTTAATTAGTGAATGATCCCAAGTCAAGTTCAAGGATTATGGAACTGATCTATAAATAGATGAGTGCAAGAAGGTCATTAGCTTGCTAGTGACGAAGACGATTGGGCTTCACCAACGACGAGATTAGCAAGAGAAATAAAAAATTTCTGTTGCCTTTAGGTAAGAAAAAATATTGGCAATGTTTAGTTGGTCCATGTGATTAGCAAAAATTCGAGAGATTAAAAATTTGATTTCAGAGGGCGGAAAATGGAGCAGGAAATAGAGAATCTCTTGCAAAATGCAGCAGAGTTGCACATGCGTATGTAAGAATTCTTCCCACAGAACTCAGCCCAATATACGCACATGTGGACGCATGGATGTATTTCATCATACATTTAAAATGATTGGAGTTTTCCTACACTACGGAGCAGCGGTACAGCGAAATGGATTGTGGTTGAATGAACAGTGAAAACAGTGAATAGAACAATGCGAAAACCACACGTTTTGCGTAATTCATGGCAAGAAATGATACGGTAAATAGAAAAATCTCATTTTGGAAAAGTGACAAATAAGCACTTTTTAAAAACACCCAATGAAAAAAGTGTAGAGGCGTTTTATTGCGTCAGCTAGAAAACCATGGAAGTTCGAGGTAGGAGGATCAAGGTTTGGGTTGAAGGCCGGAGGTAAGAAGATCAAACAGTGTAGTTCCTACCCGGAAGGGTACATGCGGACAAACACTTAAGATAACCACTGCTGGGAATGAACAGTCTTCTCTCCGCCTTTTAAGAGGTCGATCTTTTCGGAGTTATTGCAGCTTCAAGAACCTCGCTCAACTTCGTTTTTCCCGGTGACGCCCACCTTTTGAAAAAGATGCTCGACCAGTCTTTAATCGTTCTTAATAACCAGTTTTAAAATTTTTTTCTGAATAAGCTTTTCGGAGTTTGTTGTTAGATTGTCAGCTTAATATAAAAGAATGATTTATATAAAAGAAAGATGTACTGATATTTATATTTCACATCTTCCAAGCAATCATCAACAAACAAAAGCACCTTTAAGGGCTTTTAAAAAGCGAAAATAGCACCTATAAGTGCTTTTAAAAAGCGAAAATAGCACCTTTAAGCGCTTTTAAAAAGCGAAAATAGCACCTTTAAGCGCTTTTGAAAAACGCTACACACCCTGCAGTGATTACTTTATGAATTTAAAAAATAATTTTCACTGCATATTATTGAAATACGGTAAAGGTAATAAATTGCACACGTTAATAGAAAACTTTGAAAGTATTCAGTCGGAAGGTCAATCGAGGCTCTACTGTACACATAAGAGGTGAGGATCACCCTTTCTCAGGAAAAAACAATATTCATGCGCACACACTTCATTCAACAAAAACATTTACAAGCAACACCAATTAGTTACAAGAGACATACACACCTGGTGACACATCAGCATTATCATTATCACTTATCGGTTCTGGGTAAGCTTTGTGAGGCAAAGAAAATATAAGCCAAGTTAAAAGCAGCAAATAAATAAGCAAACAAATAATATTTATTTCAATCGTTTAAAATACAATTAAGATTTTCATCTTTTTACCCCCCCAAAAAAGTTATATTAGAAACTTTTAGTTGGCAAAAGTGACTACTCTTAAGAAAACTAAATTACAAGGAAAAAAAGTGACTTGCATGAGGTGAGATTTCTGGAGAGAAAAGTGCACAGTCTTTACAATCCACACATACCACCTTTTTTAATACAGTAGAGGACCTTTTATCTGGAAACGATAAAACTAGCACGACTTTTACATGAAACAATTCATGTTACGCTAAATGGCACATTTGATTCCTATTAGATATATCCCTTTAGTTCAGAGATTCTCAACCTTTTTTTTTGTTTGATTTTCTTTTTTTGTTGGGGCACATTTTTAACGATTTCGAAACTCAACGGCAGACAAAGAAAAAAAAAAGAAGTCTAAAGCTGCTTACTTACCTATAATACACTGTGTAAAATAGTTTATGATAATTTTGAGTGTAAAATAACAAAAACAGTACATTTATTAAGGGATAAGTTAATAATAAGAATACTTTAAATGAAAAATTTGACCTTGATGTTTTTTGATAATTTCATTTATATTTGGTCATAAAAATGTTTTTGCTTTTTTTTCTAGTTATTAATTGTTAGCTTATTTTTTTTTATAGTTATTGATTGTTAGTTTCTTTTACATTGTTATTTTGTGATTCCTTGTTAACTTGTTTTTTTTTGTTAATAACTAATTTGTTTTGTTTTTTTTTCGCTATTTGTTGATTTGCCTTTATAACAATTAATTGCATAGCTTATTTTAATTGTTAACTTTTATTTCCTTTTGTAAGTTAATATTTAGCTTGCTCTCTTCTGTTAATAAAAAATTTTAATAGTCATTAAATTTCCTACAAATTTTAAGATTGTCAGAGACAAGACTATTGCCGTCAAAGACACCGTTAAAACATGGAAAAATTATAAAAAGTACACACATATATACTTTTCTTTAATTTAAACTTTATTCAAAATAAAAAAAAGCATTATAATTTTGACTGTATGATTTCTAAAATTTGGTGACGTACTTTAAGAATTTGGGGGTATACAAAAGTGCACAATGGTTGAGAATCACTGTTTAGATAGTTTCAAAGCAAATGTATGCCAAGTGAAATTAATATTTGTCCTTATCTGTTAGGAGATTGATTATTAAAGGATTATAAATAATTTTAAAATTGTGTTTCATATAATTTGGTGACCCATAAAACTCGCAAATCCAGAATGAACTCACAAATTCCGGACAATCGGTTCTCAATTGTATTAAATAGCTGCACATTTAACAGGGTTGCCACTCAAGTCAGGAGAGGAAAAAAAACCCGTGTGTTCTCTTTACACAATACATACAATATAGGAAGAGGAAAAACACAATCACTGCACACTTGTATGAGCTGTATTGGGATAACTATACTAGTAATATAAGTGCTGAAAAAATTTACTTAAAACAGCTGAACATACTTAAATAATGCTATAATAAATGAACTAGTTTAATATAGCTGAAATATCATCCTTAAATATCCCATAGATTGCACTTTGAGTAAACAGGGAGCATAGCCACACTTTTCAACAAAAAATAAGTACCTTTTAAGCACTGAAAAAATATTTTTAATCACTTTCCAAAAAAATATCTTAATTAGGATCTGTACAGTAATAAAAACTATTTTTTTTATCGTTTTAAAGTTCTTAATTTATAAATATAAATCAATAAAATTTAAAAGCTTTACATAATTATGATAAAATAACCAGTTTCTGATAAAGATTGCAGAGAAAATTATGAAAATAATGCATTCTTTTGTAATTTATGACTACAATCGACACTGCAAAGAAAAAATCTCTTTTTAAAAGCACTTTTCACAAACCCCGAATAAAAAAAAGCACCTACCTTCAAGGGCTTTTAAAAAACGTAAATCGAAAATAAGCGCCTCTAAGCACTTTTTAAAAACATTACACACCCTGGTAAACTCTAGTATTGAAAATGAGAAACAAAATTTGCTGTATTTTCCCAGTTTAGAAAAAAGAAATCCTGTATTTGACCTGTTATTTCAAGTGATTTTTAAATTCCCCGTATTTTCCAAGTTTTCCCTGAGGAGTGGCAACCCTGTTTAAAGTCAATGAATATTACATTCAAAATATTCCTACAACAAAATATTAAAAATCCAAGCACACACTTCTTTCAAAATAACATTTACAACCAATTAGTTAATACACACCTGGTGACACATCAGCACTAATCGGTTCTGGGTAAGCTTGGTGAGGTAAAGAAAAAAATATAAGGCAGGTTAAAAGCAGCAAATAAATAAGCAAATAAGTAATTTCAATTAAAATATACATTTGCCCTCCTAAGCATTAGACTAACTAAAAACTTTAGTTTGAACTGTATATCAAAGCACCAACAAAAAGAACAACCCTACAAATCGTTTGGAAATAGTATTGTATCAGTATGTACTCCAAAAACAAACACTTATCCCATGCCACTCTAACAAAAATTTCATGACTGAACTTAATTTTTGACTAATTAACACAGTCTAGTGTTGTTAACCAGAATTTATAGCTATCTGACATCAAGATGCACATTTCCATGATGATGGCCACTATATTAAATCAATAATTTGTTTATCCTTTCTAAATATACACTATTTTAATTTACAGCAATAACAAAAAAAAAATAGTTAATTTTGTTCTATAGATTTCTTTTCCTTAAAATAAATAAATAATTAATTCTAATTTAACTTTGGCTAACATTTAGAAAGGTTGGGAGAAAGTGTAAACAAAATCAGAATTCATGTTCAGCAATAGTACAAATTTTATTTTTACAACCAAATGTTGAAGTTAAATCAATCCGATTCCTTCATTGCGGAGTGACATTACCTCATCATTTAGCAATACTGATACTATATACCTGACTACTACCGTGGCCATTAAAAGATTGGACTAAATGCTTTACATGTCAATGGGTGAAATGAATGCAAATTATTGTTACCAAAATAAATATAATCTAAACTAATGTGCAGTAACAACCACTCAAACATTTTTTTTACATTAATTAATATATACAGTGATTTAGGACAGTGTTTCCCAAACTTATGACTTGAGTACCCTTTCTAAATTTTTAGTAACGCTGTGTACCACTAATAAAAAAAATGAATATTTTTTACTACAAAAAATTGCACAAAATTTAAAAATCACAACTGGCTGTTGACACCATTTATTAATAACTGTTAACCCTGCAAAAAATAGCCAATAGAAAAACAAGTCATCGTAAATTTTCATGGCTAGCTTTGTTCTTCAATAAAATTTTTTGAAATTTTCGTTTGTTGCAAGATATTTCGCATAAGAATTAGTACCTCCGATAAACTGCTCCCATACCCCTGGCGGTGCGCATACCACACTTTGGGAAACACTGATTTAAGGAATATTTATGAAAATAAAGTTTTTTTTTTAAATGCATTTGAAAAAGATTGTAACACTGTCTTTATTATTTGCTTTTGAACAACAAGAGGTAATTGAAAGAAAGAGCTCAGAAAGAAAGAAAAGATATTTTGAAGTTTTGCATCCAAAATAAATTTTTTTGCCAATGGTATTTCAAAGAAACCTTTTTAGCAAATGAAATATAAAAATCCATAACTATCAAGAGTTTGTCTCAAATTCATACTAGAGCAATGTGTCAACCCAAGACCATTTCAAATATTTACATACTACTTTCATTTAAGCAAAAAAGCCTTTTCTATCACTTCATAAAATAAAAACAATTTTTTAAAAAAATAAAAGAAAATTGTATTTCAGAGTTATAAGTACATATTATTGAAAATAGACTCTTACAGTCATTTATGCAAATAAAAAGTTTTATATCAAGAGCTATCGTAGCATTTTAAAGCAAAATGTTATAAACTAAAAAATTTGAATAATAAACAAGGCATTTTTTGCCTAAAAACATTACTCTACATTGCTGGGAGATTTAGCATTATAAAACTGGATAGGCAGAGAAGTGAAAGATCATTTGATTATAGCAAAATACTTTTTAAAAAATAATTTCTTTCATATATGTTTTAAATTGGTGAGTAAAAGCCATCATTAATTTAACCCAATCTGGGCCAAAGATGCACCATTTCAATAAATTTGAATATTTTTCACTAATTTAATTTTTCTGATATTCTCAAGGGTTCTGGAGAAATCCATAAATTAGTAATTCAATTGGAGTAAACATTTCCTGCTGCGAAATTTTTAAACTAAAAACGGTTATCCACAAATGAAATGTTTTGAAAATGTATAATTATTTCTTTTGAGATTTATCATATGTTTTTATGATGGATTACAGTCTTAAGTCAGTAAATAAAAAAAAATGAAATAAATTTCATAAAAACTAGCATTCAACTAAATGGTTAGTTCATTGGTTGCCTATACAAACCATTTTATTTCTTAAATAAGATCTGATTTTTCATACACGAAATTTTTGTGTCTTAATGTAAGAATATTTCAACGAAAATACATTTTATAAAACTTCCATACTTGGTCTAAAATGGGTTAAAGTAAAATTGTGTGTTATATATTAGATATTTAAAAATTGCTACAGTTCACTATTTATTTTCGATATAGAATTCTCTATTTATATTTAATTTTTCAACTAAGGCTCGCCTCTTTAAATTCACAGTACAAACAGTCGAACCTCGTTAACATAAAATTGGCGGGACTATCATCATTATTTATGATAACCAGATTTCATCTTATCTGATACATCATGCAAACAATTTATTACGCACTATAAATACATATTAATGACTACATTTATAAATCTTAACAATACTATTACGTACCAAACAAATTAAAATAAGCTTAAAATTTTATTAACTTTATTTAACTATTTTATTTGCCCATCTGCTACTTCTAACAAAGGTGGTTAATAGAAATAGCATTCCTCAAAATGAATGATTGGCACTTTATTAGTTTGGCACGATTGATAAGCACTTTATTCACATGCTTATCTGTTGTGTCCAGTTTCCTTTCATGTTAAGCGATAAACAGATTTGGAAATTTAATGTTAAACATGCAAAATAAAACAATTGATTGCTGACTCACGTGTCCAAACATGTATTTCATGTGAAGCGATATTTCATGCTAAGCGGTTTTCTGTTAATGAGGTTCCACTGTATTGTAATAGTTATAAAATCTAAAAGTATACAAAACAAAACTGGATGACAGACACTTTAAATGCAAAATGATGCACTTTGATTCAAAATAAAATCTAATGCTAAGCTAAAAATCAGCAAGATACCAAAATAACATTCAGTAGTTGCAATTGGTAGAATATAGCCCAGACTACTTTTTAGGTAGGGAGCTGTCAGTATAAATTCAAAATCAATAAACCTCATGCTTACAACTCGTAAGTATTTATGCGTAAAAATTTTCAATTAACAGAAAATAGTGCCTAATCATATTTTTATTGAATATATATTAGCCAAACTCATACTGCAAACTAGAGAAGAAACACTAAAAATTTTGCGTTACAGATAGGTCACAATTTTTTAACATTTTAATATGCTTAAAATTTTAGTCTAAATAATAACTTTTATTTAACCCATTTTTTGGCCAAAGGCACGTAAAAGCACCATTTCAACTATTATTTTTTAATTAACATTGCGGCCATATTATTTTTACTAATTTTATTTTTTTGTTAACTTTAAGGGTTTAGAAAATATTTATAAAATATTAGTAATTCAATTGTAGTAAACATTTTTTGCTCAAAAACCTTCATAAGTATGTTAGTTTCTTTAACTTGAAACTGTTATTGACAAATTAAACTTATTCAAAATGTGTAACTATTTAACCTTTGGATTAATCATATGTTTTTATGATGGATTAAAGTTGTGAGTTCTGAAAATAAAAAAAAACTTAGTGGCAGGGTTCATACAGAGATCAGAAGAAGAAATCCAAGGAGTATCCAAGGAGTCCAAAATTTAAAAACTTTGCGTAAAAGATAACCAGAGAGTTTTTTTTTTTTTTTTTAAAATCAAAAATCAGTTACTATAAAGAACTTGCAAAAATGTATATTTTGCATAAGATATTATTTTCTAGCCTTTTTGAAATAAATTTTGACTTTGTCAAACTTCATCAAGAATATGAAAGTTATAAGTTATGTATGAAAGTTATAAGTTATGTGTGAAAGTTATCACTTTCACACATAAATTCATTTTCCAGGTTCAAATATTTCAATAAATGTTGTTAAAGCACATAGTACAGATGCTAAAGATTAACATAAAAACACACCTATCTTACATTTTAAAATTTGAATACATAAAATCTAAGGCATTTATACAAAGAAAAAGAAACAGTAAATCATTAATTAAGTTTGCTTGTAATATGTAAAATTATTTGCTGTTACTTTTTTCTTCAACTCTTCCAATTAAATTTTTTTTTCTTTTTAAGTTTTTCTTAAACCATTAAACTTTGACAGCTAAGTTATATTGTTTCGTTTCCCTGCACGGGCAGCAAATTCATCAGCAGACTTAGTAAGTTCATCTATGCAACACAATAATCTAAGGAGTTTCTAAGAACTAATTTGGAAATCTAAGTAGTTCCAAGTACTCCTTGGAGACCTTTTTATTTCCAAGGAGTTTCTAAGGAGTCTGTACGAACCCTGTTAATGTTTAACTAAATGATTTATTCATTGATTTGGTTAATAGTGTGTATATGCACCATTTTATTTACTCAAGTATTATTTGTAATGTACAAAACTTATTTTATGTCTTAATGAATATAATTTTAGTATATTTCAATGAAAATAATACACTTTTTAATATTTCTATGGTTGGCCAAAAATTGGTTAATTGGTTTAAGAAAGTATATACCTTAAAATAGCATTAACCTTAAAAAAGCTTATTCAGCAATTCTGCTAATGCAAAATTGCTTAACAAAACATATGTTTTAACGATTTTTAAAGATAGAAATCTTAAAAAGCACAATTTAAAAATTAAAAAAAAACACCTCAGACTATATGGACATTTTGGCTGGTTGTATTAAGAATGATTTAGTACAGTTTGACCTTGATTTTACAAATTGATTGGAACCGACAAATTCGTTAGTTAAATCAAAGAAATTCGTTAAATCAAATATAAATTTTTGTGAAGAGTAAGGTATAAAAAACACTAATGATATGGAAAAAAGTTATTGTTTACTACGAGCTTAAAAATTACAAGTTATACGTTAGGAAATCAACTTTAAAATTATCTTAATTCTTTAATACTACTTGCTTTTAAAATTTAATACATACATATAATTACACACTTGGATTAGGGTGTGAAATATTCAAAATTTTAAAATGTGAAAAATTCAAAGTTTTACTTAGGATGGGCAAATTTTTTGCCAGGACCAGTCCTTCGTTAAATCAAAGCTAAAAATGTGTTAAATGATAGCATTTTAGCACTCTTTTTGTCAGGACAGAAAAAATATTCGTCAAATCAGAGAACTTTTTAAATCAAAGTACGTTAAATCGAGGTTCAACTGTAAAAGTTCTGTTATTTTTTTTTATTACCCTGAAGTTTGGTGAAGGACAATTTTAATGATCGGATTTTTATTAAAATATGAATTACCAGTACTCGGGCTATCTCCAAATGCAGCAGCAAAATTGGCATCGGACGCAAAAGCATCAGCAGATCCAAATCCTAAAACAAAATAAAGATACATTTTAAAACGCCTTTTTGAGTCAACTAAAAGTGGGCAAAAGCTTTTTTTTTGTCATATTTAAAAAAAAATTAAAACACACCTTAAAATAGAGACAGTGAAAAAATTTTATATTTTGAAATCTAAGCAATCAAACTTGTTTCTTTCTTTTTTTTCTTTTTTAAAAAAAAGAAATACTTATTTTGAATCTCACAGTGAGCTAAAGAAAAAAATCAAGATAACATTTCCTTAACAAAAAATCAGTACTTATTTTGAGATAAATACTTTTAATAAGTACAAACTAAAATATATAAAATTTGCTTCTCATAGAATTAAGAGAATATAGGGTCACTTCTGCAGCTAAAAAAGAATATTTTATTGCAGTGGGTTGGGTACCCTCCCACATAATATACAGTTTGACTTCTATTTAATAAACTTTCATTTTGCATATTTTTCGAAGAACCAAGAACCTTTTGGAAATTTCTTTGTAAAATAACTTCCAAATATCGATATGAATTTTCTATTTAACGAACTTTTTTTTAACATCCACTTTTCCTATTTCCCAAAATATTTTGGAACATTTCAAACTTGTTAAACACAGTTGATGGGGGAAATGACCACAGTTGATGGGGGAAATGACCTTGAATTGATTTTCGAAGCCACTTAACTTTTAAAGAAAGCGGCAATATCCCTTTCCCTTTTTGTTTGCATTTTATTCAGAAATTCATGCCAAAAATCAATTTATTGATTATGTTTTGATATCAATTTATGACCAATGAAAATCAATTTATGATTATTGATGATATTTTTGTATACTTTTTCTATGTTTTTAATGCTCTAACGTTTTAAGTGTTTATAATCTTTTAATGTTACATTTTATTAGATGTCAATTAATGGTCAATGTTAATTCTCCTAGTATGCCTGCACTAAGTGTTTGCACACTCCAGCAAACTATGCATGTATCAAGTGCCGCTGCTAAAAAAAAAAAAATTACAAATTGTTTTGCTCATGGAAGTTGTGAGCAGAGGGTATATGCCCCCTTCAACAATAATTAGAAATCTCTTAAAAACTCCTTTTCAATGTTTAAGACAAATGAAAAATTAAAAGAAACTGAGAAAATTAAAAAAAAAAAATTCCTGTTTTTCTTAAACATTCCCTGATTTTTATCAAAATTTTACTGATTTTTCAGGTTTTTCTAGAGTAAATATATATCGTGATAATTCCAGGTAGGTTGCCACCCTGTTAAATTTACTGTTTAAAAATTCTATAATTACTGTATTCTTGATAGGAATCTCATTTTTAAAATCAGATGTTTGTTAGTTACCATTTCATCTGATTCTTCATATCAACGGAATGATTTTAAAAATGATCATTTAATAATTGAACTATTCACAATTAGAAAAGAACTAATAAATGTGAAACCACAAAAGAGCCCCCATCCCACAATATTCCTTACAGCAATTGCTGCAAATTAGCGTATGACACCTGAATTCATCTCCAACAAGTTTTGATAGAGTTTTTCATAAAATGACTCACTTATAAAAAAAGTTTGAAACAATGCAGGCTAGGCAATATGCCTGGACAATGTATATAAAGGAATAAGCATTCCTTAAGTTCTGACAAATTTTTTCTTTTTTTTTTTGATTTTATGCATTAGTTAAAATAAAAAAGGTTTGACCAAAAATCTGAATTTTTCAATTCCACAAATAGATTTTAAAATTGATAGTAGATAAGGGGATGTTCTGAATACACGTACAAAACTAGAAATATCAGGGAGGAAAGCTAAAATTTTGGAATTTTTTTTTTTTTACAAAACAAATTTTTTTTAATACAGGAAAATCTAGCATAACAAGACAATTATGAGACTTGGTAGTTTTTTAGGTTCCAACTAATTTGCAGCATTTGGTAACAATGTAACTCAAACTTTCATAAGACAGAGCGTAAATTGAAGTTTAAACACCCTAGCTTGTTAGAAAGTAGTAAAATTTTTGATTGGAAATAACTTTTTTAAAACAGCCAAGAAACCCCTAAAACTCTTTCCGCCAGGTTTGAATTTCCAGTAACATTTAAGTGCTTTAACTGATGAGGAAGTATCTGAAATACTAATTGCAATATTCCTCACTTGCATACACATATCTGTTAACATTGGAGAAATAAAATAGAGATTTTAGGAGTGACATTTTTAAGGCTACAAGTAATGCTTTGATACATCATGCATAATCACATTTAGCGAAGTAAAAAATATGTATATAAAATTTAACAGGGTTCCCACTAAATTTTACAAAAAAAATTACCTGACTTTTTCAGGTTTTCCCTGACGCGTAGCCCTGTTTTAATCTAAAGAAGACCTCTTTTTAACCAATATTTATAATTACTTATACTTTAAATACTAAACATACTGCAGTACTGGACTATCTGTTGAGGAATAAGAAGTATTTTTGCCCACAACGAATATTTTATCAGCAAATTTTTTTTTTCTTTTCATTTCTTCCACAATTGAGGAGAAATTTGAGAATATCTGGGTAAACAGGAGATAGTCATACAATACAAAAGTCTTCTTTAAAAAACAAGAGATTTGACAGGTATACATACATAAAAAATTTAGTAAAAAATAGATGTCATGAAACTTACCATTTGTGAAAGTTGCAAAATTGGTGTCTTGAGGTTGAGACTGTGGTGTCAGTTGACCACCCCCACTGCTTCCTCCCCCTCCTCCACCAAAGAGGCTGTCAGCGAAAGGGTTTCCGCTCATATTATTCAAACCAAGGAGGTCGTCACTTGGCATTGCAGGAGAATCATTGACATGCATTGTGTCAGTAGAGGAAGTATTAAATAAGTCTAAGATTTTTTGATTGGCCACAGGAGTTGTACCACCCACAGGAGGTTCAGAGGGAGAGGACAAAAATGGATTTGTCTTGGCTGCTGCAGCAGACGTCGGAGATTTTAAGTCAGTTGAGGCACTCATTTCTTTTAAACGTCGTTCCTACATACAAAATTTATGTAAGAATAAAACAAAAATATCTAAATTGCTTTTTTTTTAATTTTTGACGCAACAAAAGAACTTATTACAAATGGTAAATCGCATTAAGAGGATGTCATGCCAGGGAAGAAAATCTTCGTTGCAAATTCTGTTTCTCCTTTATTACTCATTTAAAATTTAAAACAAAGAAAAAATAAGTTCAGACAAACCTAGATTATGCCATGAAATTTAAAATACTGGAAAGAAAATCTATTCATATAATAAAATAAAGAGTGTGTGTCTGTAGGCTGGATTGTGGGTGAATGGTCGACTAAGAATACAAAATTCAACATGAAGCCGAATGAGTACAATTGTAAATTTTTCACAAAACCCAATTTTTGATTTTATATCAATTTTTAAATTTAAAGGCATTTACGAAATTGAAATTTCTCAGAATTTTAGCGGAAGCCATTGTTTTAAAATATGCCATAGTTGATTCAGTTTTGTAAAATATTTTAAAGACAACACCAGTGGTGTTGGTTAGCTTATAACTCAAATCAAAAACATTGTTTATTGAGAGTTATGAAATACTTAATTATTTTTTATTAATTATGCCAGGTTATACGTAAGATCGTGATCATGCCAGCATCAGCATACGACGACAGCGGATTAATATTTTTAAGGTTATGTAAAACCAAGCTTTAATTTTGTTTATAGTTATATTTTGAACCATGTTACAATAAAACTAAATAATTTAAAATAAACTGTTATTGAAATTTAAAAAAAAAAAGACTCAAGCTGAAATGCTAAACTACAGGAAAAAAATGGTACGAATTTGTCAATGATAAATTTTGGTAACAGTTACAAATTAAAGTGAAAAAATGAGTAATTAGTAACTGTTAATGATTAACGTGATTTTAAATTATTAAACATTATGTTAAATTTTTATTTGTAATTAAAAATGTTTGTTCAAAAAATAGTCTAACCCATTCAACACTCACTCTTTTTTTTCTTTTGAATATTGTTATAAAGATTTTGTTTTTAAAAAAATAGGAATATTAATTTTTATTAAATGTAAAAAAAAAACCTTTATTACCAATATTTTGTCAAAGTTAAAAACCAAAAAAACCAGACATTGTTGAAATAAAATGCAAAATTCATGAATAGATTTTAAGAGGAAAAATAGCTGAAATCTAAAGTGCTTTTTATATTTAATTTACACATAAACTGAAATGTTTCAAACTATGAATTCACTACAAACATAAAAATGTTGAAAACAATTTTATAGCTCCATTATTCCAAATAATTGATCATTTAAATAAAAATATCAGCAAATAAAATAACACTTTGAAATACTTACTTCAGATACTCCAAAGCAACATTATCAAATAGTAAAATCAAAGTATAATAAAACATCAAGAAAAAAGTGCTAAAATAATAACTTATATTTATATTAATATATGTGGGAATATCATATGAATGATCGTGACGACAAGTGAAGAAGCCTGAAAATTTTAAGTACAAAAAATCTATATCAATTAATATACCACACATGTTTTGTATTTAACATAATTTTCTAAAATAAGATTTATAATTAAATTACTTACCAATAAAGAATATCAAACTTTTATAGTAATTAATTTAGGAAAGAACTTAGTTCTTACAAGAATCTAGATCATGGATTTTTAGAAACACGAATTTTAAAACTGCATGAATACGAATTGTGATATTGGATTTTAAAATCGCTTGAATATGAATAGTGATATTGGATTTTAAAAGCAATGATAATACTAATCGTTATGCGTAGCTTTTAAATCACAGAAAAATACAAAAATCGACGTTTGATATTAAACGCATGAATACAAATTGCAATATCGGACTTTGAAAACTAATGAATACGAATTATGACACTGGATTTTAAATTCCCGTGAATACGAATCGCACAATAGATTTAAAAATGTGTAAATACAAATCGTGTAATGGAATTTTTAAATTGTAGGAGTACAAATCGCTATGAAAGATTTTTAAATCACGTAAATACGAATCACATATTTAAAAAATTAGGTAAAAGCTTTTAAATTAGGTAAATACAAGTCTATGTTTGACATTTAAACCGCGTAAATAAGATTTGCAATATTAGCGGTTAAAGGCACAGTTCCAAATATTCAAAATGACAAAAGTTCGCCAAAGCAGAAGAATCAAATTGGATCTCTGCTCATTGGAGGAAGAATAACATGCATGTAAATTCTCTATAACTGAAATGATCAAAAGTTTCAAAATTTTAATTTTAGATGGTGGAATCTCATTAAAATTTCTTCGGATTAGAAGCTTTTAATCAGTCCGAGAACCAATTGTCTTGAGAAACATGGAATTCCCCGATGTTCCCAGTATGAGAACCGAAGAACTGAAGAGTGGCACCCATGCGGATGGATAATACAAAAAAAAAAAAAAAAAGTAANAAAAAAAAAAAAAAAAAAGGAACGGAATTCTGGGATACTTCTCAGAGTATCAATCACCCGCGATCAGAGATAAATTTATCATGGGGTTTTTCTAGTTCCAATTTTTAGCTTGATAGGTGGAGCCACTAAACTTACCAAGAATACACCAACAATACTTTTTATTTATCTGAGAATGTCGTTAGATTTGGATATAATAATTATATTTTGATATGATGTAATGAACTATTTCTAATTCAATAATTTTGCTTCTCTCCAGAGGCAAAACTGAAAAATTTTACCTTAACTATTGATTGAACAAACTTAAAAACTAAAAATTCATTTAAGCACCTCTTTCTTCGCTTTGGTGTTTTCACAACAAGCATTCATGAAATTTTATGTAGCTTTTCTCTAAAATTTAAACAATAAATTTTAAATCTTATTTTTTTAAACAAATAGAAATGATTTATTCATTCCTCTTATTTCAGAAAAAATCTTCATCTAAATTTTATCATTAAACCCATTGGCGGTTCTGAGCATAAAAAGCAGTTTTTTCCATATAGCAGAACCGGTTTTTCCATGTTTTGAGATAGGGAAATAGTGAATTGGGGAGAATTATTCTTTTAATTTTGCCCACTTGCTAAACTGCCAGTGAGTTAAGGAGTTGTGTAATTAAAACAAAGCAATTTGTTCAGATCAATTTTACACCTGTACTTTTCCTTACTTGGTTATATAGGGTTTACAATAAGATGTTCAGCAGATACTGTACTTCCATCACTGCATGAATTGTGTGCTTATTTACAACTTGTAATCCCATTAGATGTTATGACAAAGAAACTATTAGTAATACCAAACAGTACGTGCTGTTAATAAAAGTTCCCACAAAACCAATGAAACTTAGGCATGAAATTTAAATATTGTTATGATGCATGCAAATATAATAATAAATACAAAAAAAAGATTTCAAAATTGTGGTTGAAGTGTTCTGAATTCTATAATTAAAAAATTCAGAACATTAATATCTAAGTTTGCGTTCAGAATATAAAAGGCTTCTTACGTGTCTTTTAAATTAAGCGTACAGATTTTGAGAGGTTTTTCAAAAATATGATTGTTAAAAATTTTGTAATATAGGAATATCTTTTTTTCCTTTGTAATTGTTTTTCGTAATTATGCAAAAAATAAGATTTTATCCAAATTTTAAAAAAAAAAATTGATTTCAAATTTTCAAAGATAAATTGTAGCAGAAATTTGCACAGGTCTGAAGCAAAATTGTAGCAGAAACTTATTACAGGGTGTCCGAAATCAGGCAGAAAGTTTTCATAACAGAAAAACTGTTAAGGTTAAAAATAAGAATGCGAACAGTTATTGTTGCAAACTCACATGTCAGGTCATACATTTTAACTGGCTTTAATTAGAAAAAAAATTGGACCAGGTAATATTTCATTATTTTTGGAAAGTTTTTGAATGGTAAGCAATGAAATTTTTTACAAAAGGCAAAATAAAAACATTGTGTAAAAAGGGTTGAATAATTACTTAGAAATCGAAACTGAAAAAAGTTTTATTTTCTAATTAACATATTTGAGGTCACTACTGAGTTCTAGAACGTGAAGATCAGATCATTAGATCAAAAATTATTGATGGTGGACCATTCTTTTTTGCACACTGAACATTGCACATAGAATCAGGGTTAAACAGACTTTTTAAAAAATTAAGTTTACCATATTATATACACTTATATAATTTGAAGGCAATGATTCCTTTAGTGTCGCTTAAAAGAATCAATATTATCTATTAAATTATAAAGTAAACTGGTTTTGAAATCTTTCTTTTCTTTGTGAAAGAGAAAAAGTAAAGCAAGAAAGGTTGAAGAAGAGCATACTGACCGAATCCTCCCACGCAGGTTGTTCCCAAAGAAGAGGAGAGTCATTGTCAAACTAAAGCAGAAAAGCAATTAATTTATTCAATTAAATTAGTAAAAAGCATTCTTCAACTACAACACCCATAAACTGCACTTCAGAAACATTCAAGTTTATAGAGAGCATTTTATTTACAGAAATAAAATTTTAAGGATAAATCCGATATATGTCACTCAGGGTTGCCACTCAAATCTGGAAAAAAAATTCCTTGTATATATTATACTCAATGCATTAAGAGGAACACAGCAATTACTGTGCTCTGGGGTGAGCTATATTGGACTAACTATACTAGTTTTAAATGCTGGAAAAACAGCTGAACGTACTTAAATAATGCTAGAGTAAATGAAATAGCTGAAATATCATGGTTAAATATCCCATAGATTACGCTTTGAGTGGTCACTTTTTATAAAAAGACGAAAATAAGAAACAAAATTCCCTGTATATTTTCCTAGTTTGTTAAGAAAATAAAAACCAGAGTACCCTGAATTTCCAATGTAATTTAGCTGATTTTTAAGTTCCCTGTATTTTCGAGATTATCCCTGTAGAGTGGCAACCCTAAAATTTCTATTTTTTAAGCTGCGTTCACCAAAACATTTAAGAAAATGCAGTTTTTTTTTCTAATAAATTTTTTTTCTTCTCTTTGCTGTTTTTCGCTTCAATAAACACATTAAATAGATAAGAGCAGTTTAGGGAAAATTTCAGGGTTGAGGAATAAAATATGAATATTAATAGTGTTTGAAAAGTACACCAACAGAAAAGCTTTATTTCCTTTTAAATGTTTTCATTAAAAAAATCTACTCAATTATGTTAAATTTTTTTATATTATTTTACTCTGGTTTTACATTATTAAATTATAAGACCAAATATTAATCTACTTTAGGTAATTAGTGGCTCTTTTGGAACAACTCAACTTAATTGTAACCGTGACAGTTACGATCGAAAACTTGAACTCTAACTTTTCATTGTTTTTTTCCCAATTTGTAAAGAAAAACTCAAAATTCCCTTCATTCGCCCTGTTATTTTAGGCGATTTTTAAATGTCCTGTATTTTCAAGTTCTCCCTGTGGAGTGGCCACCCTGTTAAATAAAAATGTAATCCATCCTAGTGTTTTGCAAAAATTATAACACATAGGACCATTTGTCTCATTTTCGACCATAGCTTGACTAGGGGCAAGGGTATACAGCTGTCCCCAGGCCCTCAAATCCAATAGAAAGTTTATTTTACGTTACATTCCTTAATGAACTTTTTTAAACAAATTATCAGTACAGTGTAAAATCCGTCAGTTTTAAGTTAGCTTCTTCATTAATCTATTGTATGAACACAATCCATATTTCGCAAATCAATGGCTTTCTAAGGCTGAATTCAGCTAAATTTTCGCAATAACACTGAACAAATTTGGCCAATCAAATGCTTGTATTTTTACATATTGCAAAATGCGATACGTTTACAAAAATACAGGTGTCCGATTGGCTTAATTGAGCCATCGTAATTGCGTAAATTTAGCCCTACTGTCAGCAAGGATGATTTTTTCGCTTCTAGATGACAAAGTTAATCAGAAAACTGCATTCGGACATAGAATTATCAGAAAATTAATAAAGTGAACAGTACGATATTTTGTTTGATCACTGGAGAGGGTGCGACTTTATAGCTATTTTAGATTCTAGTCAATTTTCTTGTTATCTATAATGAGGTGAAAATTTTAAATACCTCAAAATTAAATACATTTAAATTCCACCATATTAAATATCTTCATTACTGAAGTAGTGAATCCGTGGGGCCCCCAAAGAAGTTTTTGCCCCTAGCCCCAATTAGACTGAGTCGGGCCCTGATTTCGAAATGTCACTGATTAACTTTAATTCTGTTAGAAATTTCAAAAAATAAATTTCACGCTTAAACGTCAACGATGGCATTAAAAAGTGCCATACTCACCTTCAGCTGATTCATAACTTCGGCTTCCTCCTCGACAGCCTTCCGGGCAGATTCATCAACCTTGACTCCATTCATTTCTTGCTGGGGAGAGTTCTCACCGGCACTACAGAAGGCAATGCTCGTATTGGACAAAGCATTAACAGCATTTTGAAACGTGGTCGCTCTTATATTTGGTAATCGCAGGCAGACAAACAGAAAAAATAACCAAGCAAATAAAAATGAAAACAAAATTAAAAATCATGCAAATAAATTAAATGCATCATGCAAATCAAAGATCATGCAAATAAATAAAACATACAAACAAAAGAAATGACTGGACTTGAAATAAACATGCTGCAACTAAGACAGGATGAGCAACCTCTATGAAACAAAGCAGAGAGGTAGCAGAGAGGGTAGAAAATTAAAAGAAAATGGTTGAACTGATACAAATTAATAACTAAACGATGTATCTTAAAAAGAAATATAATTTTAACAGTGCAAATAATAGTTTACATTATAACTACATCAATTATTGTCACATCCATTAATTAACATTGACAACAGATTTTACAGTTCAGCATGGAAGGTGTTTTCTACACTAGGAAGAGAGGCAAGCTCTTGAATGCCTATACTTCCGGGTTACTGTTTTTGGTGAGTCTTGAAGCCATTTGGCTCAGACAGTGATCATTGTGTTTTGAAACTCAAGTAGTATTTCTTGCATATGTGTGTATATTTACCAGATTTATTACTAATGTTTAAAAAAAGTCGTCATTTAATTGTCATTCGAAAACCTGTCATTTCAAGACGCAAGAATGATAAAATTTGAAAAAAGACTAATTATGAAAAACTTCTTACTTTGTTAACAAAATACCAACTTCAAAATTTAAACCTAAGTGATAATTTGTAAAATGAACTTAATCTCGCTGCTAGGAAAATATGGTAACACTAGTGTATGATGGAGTAGCAAAAGCAAACAGTAATAAACAAGTAAAAAGAGGTTTAATCAGAAATCTAGCAGCCATGTCACACTTTTCAACACTACATTTCTAAATAATAAAAACAAATTTACACTTCTAACTCACCAGAATTACTTAATATCTTTTAAAACAGAGATTTGAGCACGAATATGATTCACAACAAGTAACTTTCGAATCAGGTAAATACGAAAATCGATGTTTGATATTAAAATAGAGAGAATATGAATGGCGATATTAGCGATTCCAGCTCTGTTTTCAAATATTAAAATCAATGCAAATCTGATAAACCAAAAAAATAAATAAATAAATGAAAATTAAGGAAGAATCACTTGTAAGAAAATTTCAAGGCCCATGTTTTATTTTTGAAACATTGGCACATAAACTGTTAAAAAGTAGAACTCACAAAATAGAATAAACAGAATTGAATTAACAGAAAAGCAATTTTAAATTCAAAGCCTGTGTCCTATTTTTGAAGCATTGGCACGTAAACTGTTAAAAAATAGAATATACAGAAAAGCAATTTTGAATTCTAAGTCCATGTCCTATTTTTTGGAACATTAACATGTCAACGTAAATAGAACTAACAGAATAGAATTAGCAAAATAGAATTAGCAAAATAGATTTACCAGAAAAACAATTTTGAACTCAAAGCCTGTCCTATTTTTGGAACATTGGCAAGTAAACTGTTAAAAAATAGACTTAACATAATAGAATTAACTGAATAAGAATAGAAATAACAGAAATTCAATTTTAAAGAAATAGAACAAATGAAAATGAAACCCACAATAATAAAGAATCTAAATTAAATACCTTGCAGCAGCAGACGCAGCAGATGTGGAACCTTTTCTTCCTTCCAGAGTAGCCAGATGTTGTTCCAGAGCTTCAAGTAAACTGCTTGGAGCCTTTCAATTTAAAATGTTTTAAATTATTAATTAAAATGGGTAAAGAACAAATATATCTTTCATGAGTTAAACAAGTCTGCAATGTTATAAAAAAACAAAGATTATTTTTTCTTTTTTGCAATTAAATAGAAAATTAAACACTTTCCAGAAATCTGTGCTCATTGAATAGTAAAAAGTTTTACATATCTACCAGTTGATAATATTTTTGGAGTAAGTAGCCTCACTGCACCAGAAAGATTAAATTTTTAGGATACTTTAAAAATAAGTGCAGGAATTTTTCGTAAAACGTGTCAATAAAATCCACTAGGTTTTCACAATTTAAATGAAAACTTATAAAATTGCCTATTTTTTTTCTTTTTTTATTTTTGTATTAAAAAAATCATAAAACTAATTGTATGTATAATACATGTATTTTTGGGTTTATTGCAAATATCATTATGAGTACTGACATTTAGTTTTAAATAAACTCTCTCTCTCTCAACACATTACAATTACACTGGTACTGCCATCTGGTGTATGGATTGAGAAATAATCAATATCCCAGGCATCAGAAATTGATTGTTTAAATCTTTTTCACTTTCAGTTCAGGAACATCACAGGCATGAGAAATAAAGTGAAAATTGAGGTAGTCAATTTGATAGGAATTTGAAAGTTGAACCACCAACAGCAGAGCTTTTAAATGGAGATAGTGTGGCTACTGTTGTATTTAGGCAACCTTCATACATACATGCTCAATAATTGATTGTAACATTAAAACAGGGTTGTCACTCAAATTTGGAAAAAATTCCCTGTGTTTTTCCTGTACATATTATACACAATCTATTAAGAGGAAAAACACAATCATTGCACTGAGCTATATTGGACTAAACATATTTATTAGTTTTAATTGCTGAAAAAACACATCAGAACATACTTAAATAATGCTATACTAAACTGAGTGGTCACCATTTTTTAAAAGGCAAAAATAACAAAATTCTCTGAATTTTCTCAGTTCGTAAATGAAAGAATCAAAATTCCCAGCAATTTAATGTTATTTTAGGTGAGTTTTAAATTCCCTGTATTTTTTAGATTTTCCTTGTGGAGTGACAACCCTATTGAAGAAGTTCACTCTTTTAGAAATCTCATGCATAAGAGTGCAGATCACAGGAAGATACAGGTTAATTTCAATTCCTGAATCGATAAAATTTGTGGCGATCGAAAATCCACTATTTTTACAATTCATTTTTCATACACTTTATTCTTAATAAATGAACACAAGATTTAAACCCTTAACTAAATGCTTTCATATAACAAACAAGATGATAAAGCATAGAAAAATAACAAATTGCAGTGCTACTTTTAATGGATAGAAATTTTTGATACACTTAGGTTAGATTTCAGAAAAGAGATTAATAATTAATTTTTAGTATGAATAAGATATGTTAGTAGATAGATTTGAAATATATTTTGGTAGATACGTTAAAATAACATTTAAGAGTATATTAAATTCTGAAAGAAAAAGATCTTTAAAAAAAATAAAATAACCCAAGAAAGTAACTCACATGTGTAGAACTAAAGATAGGGAGATTTCCAAAGCGTTGTGCCAACTAATGGGAGGGTAAAAAGTGCCATAACAAAAAGAAACAAAAATTAAAAAAAATTTCATGCAATTCAGAAACAAAACACATGCTTGTTTATGAATGTTTATAATGAAAAGACAGGGTAGCTAAAGTAATTTCACTTAAACCAATCCATCATTTTGCAATTAACTCACTAAAATATAGCAGGCAATTTAAGCATGACCTAAAAATTTATTTTTCTTAATTACAAAAGAGATTTATCTTAAAATACCCAAGCTTCAAACAAAAATTATACACATCACTACACATAGGCATCTGATGGTAAAAAGAAAAAATTGTGAAATTAAGAAGGAAAAAAAAAGCATTCAATATGTGACAAGCACCAAAAAAAAAATTATGACATGGATATAAAACAATCAGCCTAAGGGCCAAATGTGTTGCTTTAATGATTTCAATGGCCTACTAGTGGCCCATGTGTTATCTAATGAAAAAAAAAATCATTTGCATATTGCTTACCATAAAAATAAAAAAATGCAATACAATTTTTAAAACCATTTTCAATAAAGTATCTACATGGTTTATATTTAATTTGTGGAAAAATGCATCTAGTTTTCCCGTATTATACACAGGAGCAATTAAAAAAAAATTATGCACACAGTTTTATTTAACTCAGATACTGAAATATAACATTAACACACAAAAATTCTTAAAAACAAAAAATTAAGTCATATGCATTAATTTCAACATAAAATCGCTATACTTTCTATGTACTATGTGGTTGCATTTTACAATGTGATACAATGTATTAATGTTAATACAAATCAAAATTGTAGTTCTCAATTTAAAGAATATCAAAAGACTATCATTAACTACCTGCAAACAGTGAAAAACAATTGCATGATTGAAAAATAGTCAAAGATCACTTTAAACAAATTTTCTAAAAATTTCAACAATGTTAAGATAGAAAATTAATAATTTTGTAACAAGGGTGTTTAAAAAGTTGTTATTCTATTTTAAAAAAATCTTTAAGAAATAAATAAAACCTGAAATTTTTCTTTCTTTTTCAGAATTCTTAACCTCTTTTTCTAAGTTTTTTTGCAAATATTTTACTTTTTTTCTTAAGTAAGCCTCCATTTTTTTTTAAAGCAGATTTGAAATGCCCTTAATTTTCTATGTCCTCCCTGAGGCATATGAATCCTAATCTAAATTATAATGAAAAAATTAAAATTTTATTCACAAATTTAAAACATTTTACTTATAATAGAAGCTTTCTTGTAAATCTGAAAATTTTTAAAACAGTAAATATAAATGGGAGGTCAACGATGGGATTCTCATCATGCTTTCGTAAATTTGGCCATTTTCTACGAATTTTACTTATGAATATTAATAGAGAATTTATAAACTCAATTATTTCTAAGCACAGAAGTTCAAATGAATGGCCCAATTAAAACCAAAAATTAAAAACATTAGAAAAATACAAATTAAATAGCTTTTCAAAACATACCTTGGTCAAATCTGGTATATCACCTTTGTCAATTCCAATATTCTGCAAAACATCCAAAATTATAAATTTCAACTCATTAAAGTTTGGCAATATTTTCAAATACAGTAGAAATACAACTGAACACTAGAAAAGTCAATTTATTAAAAATTTTGAAACCACTTTTGAGGTGCACAATCTTTTTCTGAGAAGGATCACAGAAAAATCCTTTTGGAATTTAAAGACTGCATTGAACTCAGTTCTTATGTCAATTGGAAATTTAATTAATCTATATTGCTCTTATATTGAATTAAATATGTTTTTAAAAACATAAGACAGGGTATGTTTGCATAATATATTCAAATAAATAAACACTCAAAGGAAGTATTGCATACTTAGTTAATTTAGATTATAGCAAGTTTCTAATTTTCCTAAAGGAAAATCTAATTATTACACATGAATTACACACATTTTTCATTTTTTTAAAAATATAATAGTGAAGCTTTAAAGAACTCCTCTACACTAAAAGTTTGAGGCTGTTTGCTACTATGGTAACAAGCAAGAGTACATCTTACAGGGTTCCCACTCAATTTTTAATAAAAAAATTCAAGGACTTTTCAAGGACCTAAAATCAAATTTTTCAAGGATCCATTTGGTATTGTTATATGCTAAAGTACATGTCAACCAGATTTTACCCTGCCTAGAAATTGTATATTTTTAAATCACAATGCTTATTTGACAACAACAAAAAATATTTATTAAATTTATCAGCTATTAATACCAATGGTTGATAGTTACATAGCTGTTTCAGATCACTTTGAAAAATTCCAATTAACAAAAAAAAAAAAAAAAAAAAAAAAAAAAAAAAAAAAAAAAAACTCCAATTGACATAGGATACTAGCCAACATTTAAAACTAGCATCAGTGAAACTTTATGAAAAATTTAATGAAGTAAATTAAAATTAATGAAACTGAATGAATGTATAATGCATATTACATTGCGTGAATTTTAAAATTTAGCGAATATATGTAATTTTCACTAAGCGTAATTTTTAAATTGCTTTTATACGAATCTAGATATGCTATATGTAAATCAAAATTATAAGAAAGGTGAAGTCTCGAAGACTGCGTAAATCACGTAGCACAGTGTGTGATTTGTACATTAAAATGAAATTGCAGCGTATGTTTTTTAAATCTGAATAATATGAATAGCAAATGATACAAAATGCACAAACTAACAAGACATAAATCAAAATGTGAGATACATAAATCACTTTAATGTGAATTCTGTTGCGTGATTAGCTAATAGTTTTCATGTGAATAGTGATCATTATGATGTAAATTGCAATTTCTGATTCGAAAGGTTCTTAATATAGAACACCTATGTGTAATTCTTAAATCATTTTGATGAGAATTGTGGGCGGTAATTCTTAAATTTTTCTTTTATAAATCGCAATGTGTGATTTGCAAACTACTAGAATGAGAATTGTGAGGCATGATTCTGAAATTACTTAAATATTTATCACGTTATATATTTCAGAAATAACTTTAATTGAAATCATGATATGTGATTGATAAATCACTTAATGTGAATCATGATGTGTGATTTACAAAATACATTAATATGAATTCTGATGAGTAATTTGCAAATTATTTCAAAGTAATATTCGATATGTGATTCCTTAATCACTTCCAGTTAAACCGCAATTCGTAGAACATTTTATATGAATTCCGGTCTGTAAATCAAGACATAGTTTAATGTGAATCACGATGTTTATTCATAATCAATGAAATCCGTAGAACTAAATTTTATTTATTAGCAGTAAAAACTAAATGTAAAAACTTGATTATAAATTATAAAAAATTAATTATTCTTCGCACATAAATTAAAAGAACAAATAGGATAACAATATTAACCTGTCGTAAAAATGGAGTTAACACATTAAACATATTTCTAAATCAATTATCACTATATATCATTTGAAAACTATGACTACAAAACCTAATATTTGCTAGAAATTTCTGCTTTCAAAACATCAGAGAGATGAACAATAATCTAGTTTGAAAAATCTAGGAGAGAAAAATTTTGCATCTTCTTTAAAACTCCTTTTCACTTTAAGTATTAAAAATTGCATCAATCATAATTTCTATAATTTGCCTTTGAATTTATTTAGTATGTTTTTACTACTTTTTGTAAGAAAATTTAGTAGTATTTTAATTCCTAAAAAATCGAGTACTTTTCAAGTACCCTATGGCAGAATTCAAGGACTTTTCAGGACCCTGATTTTTTAAAACCAAAATCAAGGACTTCAAGGTTTTTCAAGTAACGTGGGAGCCCTGATCTATAATGGGGGGTGAAATGGAGGAAAGAAGGTTTACTCTCACGTCGACCTATGCCAAGATCAAGACAAAACTATTCACCCCACACCCCTATTTGAAGTAACTTTTCTTCGTAACCATAATACCCACCACGACGCAAGACTAGTGTCTGGAGTTCTCCTCAAAGCCGTAACTATATATTCACGAACCTGTTTTTGTCAGAGAAAAAAAAGTTATAAAATCCCAAGTTCGAAAGATATAAAACTATAACAGCTCAAATTTATTATTTTTACTTTTTTCCAGTTTATGACCTTGTCTTCCCAGTACAGAAGGGAGTTCAGAGTGTGTAGCCAATTCTTTGAACAAAAAATAAACACCTTAATACTTTTACCACCAGATTGTTCAAATCTAAATTATTTGCAAATATATATACTTCATATACTTGGCTTGTGTCACTAATATATATCTATAATAATAAAATGAAGAGTTTGTGCTTCTCTCCTAGAGATCATTAGTAGATTCCACTAGGGTCCCAAATTTTGGAAAGTGGTTAAAAGGGAGGAGTGGTTTTAGCCCTGATTCTAAAAAGCATTAAAATATTTGAATAAGATCATTTGGTAGAGAAATTTGAAAAAGTGAATTTTTCACAAGTTTTTCGAATTTTAAAATGCACCATAGATTTCTGATAGCTCTCATTAATAAAAAATAAAAGTTTAAAGCATGATTTTTAATATTTATATGCTGTGCCAGATAAACTTAAATGGAAGTATAGGAGGTCACGGGTATTTGTAAAGCTAACTGAAACCACTTGTATATTTCATTTATAGTTATACATTTTAAATGTTTCTATAAAACTAAATAATTTAAAATCTAAGGTAAATAAAAGAAAGTAAGATATGTGCCGAAAAGCACTATTGATGAGGAAAAAATTCATTTAAATGAAATGTTCATTTAAATGAAAATCAGAATACTTTAACAATGAAAACTATGCTTAATTTTGGTAAAAACTAAAGCATTCCAGCAACAGCCTGTTGTGGGCCAGGGGGGTCATGGAGGATAAGGCTCCGAAATTTTGCGACTAATGGCATGAATGTTGTCATCCCTCCCCACAGGCAGTCTTTACTTCCCAGACAAGCTGGTACCCATCGATCTGAAGCTGGGTGGGCTTCAAGCTGCCATAGGAAATCAAACTTCACAATAATAAATTCAATTTTGTGAATAGGTTTTAATTGAAATATGAAATGTTACCTCAGCCACTTTTAGAAATTCTGCCACCCTATCCATCCTTATTAGGAATTTCTTATAAATATCTAATGCATCTCTGGCATGTTTTTTATTCATGTCAAAATACTTTCCTGAAAAATAAAAATTATCTTTGTAGTGATACTCATGTTAAAAATAACATACAAGTTTCGACTCAACTCCTACAAAACTGAAGTCTCAATACGGATATATTTTTGATTTCCCGTGAATCTTCAATTAATAATCCATTATGTACATTCTCCGCAAAACAGACACTCCCATAACCGGACACGACAATCATTTTTGCACTAAAACTTTATTTTCTATCTCTTTAAATCGAGCACTATTTTTTCAAAATTTGACGAAATAAATTTTTTCTACAAGAGAAAAAAATAAACTTGAGAGAAACACTTTTTCATTTTTAAAGCATTTAACTTTTTTGCCTTAGCATGTGTAACGAAAAATATTGTTAAGCTATTCCGCTACTCAAAAATCAACCTTTCTCCTGTCACCTTGCTTATATATTACCTAGAATTATGTATTTATATCAAACTTTCTAAAAGAAGAAATTATTCTTTTTGAAAAGAAATATTGTTTTTAAATAAATATCCTAGTAGAGTCTTATTGAAGATTATTTAATTATTTCTATATCATTGAAAATATTCTAAAAACAATTTACGGAGTTAAGCTTCGTTATTAGGGTAACCTTCCCGTAAATAGACAACTCGCAGAAACAAGAAAAATTTTCGGTCTCAAGAGTGTACGCTTAACAGAGGTTTCACCGTATTTATACTTGAATTTCAGACACCTAAACTTGTCTGAAGTTTAAATATAAATATTTCTAATGGAATTGTCTTGTATGAACAATTAGTAATATACAACCGTGCAATTAATATAAATGCAAAATATCCTAACACTTTTTTATCAAATGTACCGCAACATAAAAAATTTATGTCCTATAACTTTATAATAAATAAAAATATATAAATAAATATTAAACTATATCACATAATATTAAAAAATTTGGTTAAGAATAACATACTTTGATAATGGTAATCAACTCTAATACATTTGTAATAAAATAGCATAGAAGCTTTGATGCTACACACTAACATCCTAGGTACTTAAAACACAGCAATATTTCTGTGCACAAAAATTGGCGCTCTAGGATAACATTGAGATACTAATCAGTAGTTGAAATACTAATCAATAAATACTTATAAGTAATCATGATTAGAATTAAATGTGCTTGAAATGCTGTGTATTATATTTACTCATAATTTTGAATAGTAATAGGCATTTAATTCATAAAAAATATTCAAGATTTTTTGAATTTAGAATTTTTTTTTAAACCGATTTTTATAAATGAGTCTCGCTTTATTATACAATAGTAATACTAGTTTAAATATTCAAGCAAGCAATAATCTGTGCAAAAATTATATTTCAATAGGAATTTTTTTTAGAAAACTTACTCAATTTTAGAGAATTTTCTAAAATTTAGAAAAATCAGAAATTTTTTTATTAAACCGGTAGAAACTTGCAAAATCCAGTAGTCTACTGGAAAATCCAGTAGAGTTGGCAGCTATGTATATATTTAAACCAGGAAATTAGTAGTTGGAAACATTTTTTATCACTAATATATAAAATTAGTATTAGTCTCACAAAGCAAAACCATTGAGCAGATGTAGCGGATAACTAATATTGTTTACCTTATGAATTTTACATTTCTTATAATTAACAACTGACCCAAACGTTTGATTAAAAGTAGAAAAAAAGTTTAAGAAAATTTTACAAAAACCAAGTGCATCCAGTCAAATTCCAGTAAACAAGCCCGCATCAAGGTAAGGATCATTTTTACTGGCTTTCAAATATTTTGTTAATTTATAAATGTTAATTTATAAAAAAAATTGTTTTATTAACATTCACTGCAAGATCACTGTTGTGAAGCTGCAACATTAATCTGAAAATAATTTTATGAATATTACACTAACCAAAATCAAATAGCATATGCAGTATGACTAAAGTAGAATTCTGTTAGTATGCAAAGTATTTAAGTATGCACTATTTCTTTAAACAATACATTGCACAAAATTAATAATTAATGTCACAATTAATTTTATAGATTAACCTATTTAGAATTAGACTATTGACAATCATGATCTAAGATTGTGGATTATTCTCTTTCTTTGAGGTTTGCTCATCGATTGATTTTGAAGCACAACTGAATAGTAAATTTTTTATATCAAGTCCAATAATATCTTTCTACATTTAAAATCAACAAAGAGTAAACAACAAAAAAAGGCATTTTAAATAAAAGATTTGTAGAAGTTACCTAATAGATTAATTATTCCATCATTGTAACAGGCAAACAGCCTCACAAGATCCCTAAAGAGCAACATGAAGCAAGAATTTACAACTCCATTGCAGAGATCATTTGTAGAACACTGCGGGAAATAGTAAATAAACATTCAGTAATCAAACATTTGTAATTCAACATAATGAAATAACATTTGTAATGTACCAGAATCAATTGCACCCTTATCATTCAATTTGTTATATAATAATCACAATCAATCAACACTTGTAATGAACTCCCATCAATCAACATTTGTACCAACCCATCATTGTTCTACTTGAAGTGCAGGGTGCGTAGCCAAATCTTAGAACAAAAAATAAGAACCTTTAAAGTACTTTTAAAGCACTATATACATTAACAAAATTCAAAATAATTTTCAAAGACTTTACATGATCATAATAAAATAACTAGTTTTTGACAAAGAATTCTTTTCTTAACTATATTAGCTGGTATAAAAAGATCAAGAGATTTTTTTTGGTTCTATTTCAGAGGGTAGAAAATGAAGCCTCGGAATATCTTGCAAAATGCAGCAGAGTTGCACATGAGTTTGCAAGAATCTCACAGAACACAGCTCAGCATATGAAGACCTGCAAATGTTTCAAACATGTAAAATGATAGGCGATTTCGTATGCTATGGACCGACAGTACGCCAAAATGCAGTGTGTTTGAATGAATTGCGAAAACGTTGAGTAGAGCAATGTTAAAAAAAGGCTTGTGTATAATGCATAACATAAATCGACATGGAAAAGAAAAAAATTTCATTTTCATAGTAAGAAAATTAAGCACTTTTAAAAAACGCCCAATAAAAAAAGCACCTTCAAGGACTTTTAAAAAACGTATCCAAAAATTTTACATACACAACAGTTTTTAAATAGGTGAAAAAATACCAGAAACTAAAGCAAGAAAAAAATAGGGAGGAATCATTTATCCATAGAATATTATCAACGTTTTATCAGTACCAAAATTTTATTTTAAATTATGTGAATACGTCATTTATCCATAGAATATTATCAACTTTTATCAACACAAAAATTTTATTTTAAATTATGTGAATACGGACTCTGTGTTTGATTCCAAAATCTTAAAAATTTGAATATTTATGTTTGATTATTTAGTCACATGAACACGATTCACAATAAAGGTACGAATACGAATTTCATATAAAAGCAAGAAAATACAAAACTGTGTAATCCTAAATCGTATAACCGTAAATCACAAATTACAATCTCTGGTTTTAAATCATGCAAATACAAATCAGAATGTGATTTTAATTTTAATTCTCATTTGCATCAGTAGAAAAAAGAGTGGAAACAATTTTTCTTTCTCCGGAATTCAAAAAAAAGCAAAACTTTCTTTGAAGAGGCAGATTTTTTTCTACTTACTGAATTAAAAGAAAAAAGTAGGAAAAACTTATCCCTGTAAACAAGATGAGAGTCAGTTGGTTAAATAAAAAGAGTCAGATATGGTTGGATGGTAGAAATTTTTATTCTTATAAAATGAAAAAGTGGGAAAAACTCATCTCTGTAAACAAAATGGGTGTGTAGCCAAATCTTTGAACAAAAAAAAAGTACCTCTTAAGCAATTTTTAAGCACTCAAAAATATTCTTAAACTCTTTATATTTAAAAAATATATATAATAGGATATTTCCAAATCGTGATCTGTCACACCAACTACAATCTCCAAGGTGACGACATATAGATTTTAAACTTGCAAATTTTAAAAAAACATGTGGATGCTACCCGGAGGTGGCTACGATTGAAGTTGGTCCCTTTCTGTGATTTTTTTTTTTAGTTTCTCGCAAGCCGCTGCCTGGAAGTCGGCAAGACTTTGAAATTTTATTCTGTCACAGTTCACAATACTAAAATCTCCTTGAATATAAGATATATACATATATATACATGCATGCATACATACATAAGAACTTTCAATAATAAGAGGAAAAAATATTTATCAGTGCACATATCCTAATAATATTGTAGTTGAATGAATTGTGAAAACATTGAATAGAATAGTGTGAAAACGCTTTTGGCATAATTCGTGATAAAGGCAGACATGATGTAAAAAAAATCTCATTTTGGAAAAGGAAACATTAAGGACTTCTTAAAAACACCCAATAAAAAAAACATCTTTAAGTTTTTTTAAAAATCGAAAATAAGCAACTTTAAGTACTTTTTAAAAACGCTACGCACTTTGCAAGATGTGAGTGGGTTGGTTCAATAAAAAGAATTGGATCAGTGTATATTTGAAATGAAAAAAAAACTTTCAATTTGTAGAAATGTGTAGAAAAAAAATTTTTGTAATGGAAATCAGTATTTTTAATAATCATTTTATATACTAATTAAGCTTACATCAAATTCCAATAGTGAATCCAATTGTGCTTGCAATGCAGGGAGAGTTTTCAAAAGCTAAAAGGAGAAAAAATATGTTAAAACTAAGATATAGACTAAGAAGTAGTGATGCAATATAATTCAAAAGCTAATTACTTGTTCTGTGTTCATTTGCCTTAGAATGCCATCTTCCTTCCTAAAAAAATAATGCAGCTCAAAATGAATGACATAAAATGTTTCTGAAATAGGTTGTTCAAAACCATTACAGTAATAAAAAGGAAAAATTTCTGAAATTGAGTAAAACTGATTTGCTGACAAGAAACTAATTTAATAAAGTTCACATGATTACAACAGCTAAAGTAAGTGGCAAAATAAAACTAAAGGTATACAATATTGGTCAAATAGTTTTTAAGTAATAAAATTTCAAAAAAAATACTTTTACTTTCTTAACATGTGACCAATTCAGTTCAAATCTTGTTACTAAAATTACATACAAATAATATAATCGTGCAAAGATTTCTACACCATTTTAAATTTATTTGGGGGGGGGGACTAATAATGCTAATTCAATACTTTAAATAATCCTAAAAAATTAATGTGCACTCATTTTTTTAAAATTTATATTTACCTTTTTTTTAAAAAAATAAACAAGTTCTGTACAATTTTTACTTGTTTCCCTATCTGAATAGTTCCAGAGATAAGACTGAATTAAAAGGATGAAACTTTTGTGGGGAAAGAATCTTTTGACTATGTCAACCTCCATCTATCAAAAGGTACTCCTAATAAAATAGATTGGAGTTAGGATTCCTTACATAGTAGTGAATTGATGCTTAATAATCATAGTGGTAGTTATACCACAATACTCCCCCACCAGAATTTTATCAGGGATAGAATTTGAGGAACGGATACCACAAGCTGCCGTATTTGTGAAAGACCGAGCGAGCTGCATTAAGTTCACTGGATTGTGAGACCTTATGGTAAGAGTTGTATTAAGCTCACAAAGTTTTTGAGCGCTTGATGTGAGAGCTGTATTAAGTTCAGGGTTGTGTGTCATCTCTCTTGTGTAGCTATTAGCAGTTCAGTGTATGCAGGATCTGTTGTGCATAAATTAGACTGAGATGCAAGAGCGAGGAGGACAATGAGGCAGTCACAAATAGCAAATAAACAATTCATTGTGGATCATCTATAATAATTATATGTGCTCGCATCACGTCCAAAGGTCATCAATGTGGGTAAAGAGCTTTTGACTAAACCAACGTTCATCTATCAAAAAGTGCCCCAAGATTGAATCTAGTTAGCATGTCTTACATTCTTACATATTAATGAATTGATGCTTAATAATCGTAATGGTTAGTTACACCACACTCCCAAACATTCTCTTCAGTGATTTATTCGGAGTACATTTTATAGATGGTAACTAATTTCAGATTTTGAGGGTCAAAAATTTAAATCTGTTTAAATAAAAGTTAACTATCCCAAATTAGGTTACAAGTTAATCATAGTAGGCCAAATTAAAAATCAGTACAATATTTTCCAAAAAAATCAGAACGAAAATGAAGATATTTAGGCAATAATAAACATGAATCAGAATACTAAAAAAAAAAAACTTGCTTCACTTTATTTTTAGGGAAAAAATTTTATTTTACTAAACTTAGAATTACTGTAATTATAAAAGAAAGTTTTAGCATGTTCTGTTATAATTTTATTAATAGAGCACTGAACAACTCCCTAAAACTTGAGAATATATAGATCATTTTTATAGTACTGTTTACTGAAAGAAAAAGCAGAATAAATTAATATTTCCTCACACCAATAACTAAAATTTGTGATTGAGTTCAATAATCAAATAATTTTAAAGTAGAATTTTAAAATAAAAACAGTGAATATATTACTTAACACTTGTTCCAAAGTAATTTTGCGGATAACCAGAATAAATTAATATTTCTTGTAACCAATAATTAAAATTTATGATAGAGTTCAATAATCAAATACTTTGAAAGTAAGGATTCAAAATAAAAACATTGAATATATTGCTCAACATTTGTTCTAAAGTAATTTTGTGGATAAGCAGAAAAATTTAATATTACCAGAATAAATTAATAAACGAGAAATAACATGAATTAATTAATACTTCCTCACACCAATAATCGAAATTTGCGATTGAGCTCAATAATCAAATAATTTTAAAGAGGGGTTTCAAAATAAAAACAGTGAGCATACTGCTCGCCATTTGTTCTAAAGTAATATTGTGGATTAGCCCTCAACTCTAAATTTAAAAATTTTATAATATCAACTATTTTATTATTAATTGGAATTTATTACTCTTAAAATAGCCGCAGCCAGTTATGCGTAACTTCAGTATTCTACTAGGAACAGTGTCTTTACGATCAGTCCACTGAGGGACCAAGCTTTAGACAGACTCAGCTTAGAATCAGTTTTCAAAAATGATTACTGTACTAATGTTTTAAGCTGCTAAGAGAACTGAAATTATTCAAAAGAACATTTTAAATATAAATTATTTATTCAAATAGCACTGGCGACAAAAAAAAATAAGTAGACGCACTAGAGCTGTACAATAGGTTTATTGGTGACAGTCAGGGAAACATCCCTAAAGACTATCAGAACACATGCTTTAACAATTTTAATCTTTTGCAGAGGGGATGGCTCCCTACAGTTGAATTTGGGCACTAAATGGTAGAACAGTTTAACAAAGAGCAATACCCAAGTCCCTTCTAAGGTTTCTCAAGGTGGTCAGTCACTTAGACTTACCTCATGACTTCAGTAATCTACTGGAAACAGGGTCCTCACAATCACAGAAAAAATAGAAGTAAGACAGGATAAATTTTAAAAACTTGGTTACATGTGCCCAATAATAGACTGAAACACTCTGTGTAATGATAACATAGTCCCAGTGGCAGAATTTTTTTGAGTTACCTGTGACAAAACTTTCTAGCTCTAATATCTTTCTGCAAGATACTTTTAATAATAACAAACATATATGTTACAAATTTAAAATAACAAATATGCTGTGTTTACAAAAAAAGAAGAAAAAACTAATTTTTTTAATTGAACATGTAATAATTTTTTATTCTAATATTATGGGTGATATTCTAGCACTTTGTTGAGAGGGGCGCACATATTATTTACTTCGTGTTATGTAAATGATCGCAATAAAAAAATTTTGAATATCATGAAATTCTTAGTTGCCAAAAAATAAATAAATAAATAAATCATGTAAATCCGACTCCACAAACTCGTTTCGTTTTGAGATTAGGTTGCTGTAATAAATAATATGGCATAAAAAATATCTGATTTAAAAACTATGAAGACATCAATAGCAATAACTTCCAAAAATTTGATAGATTTATTGCATTAAAAAATAAATACTCAAATGCAGGATTCAAATTTTCCATAGTGTTTGAAATATATCAGGATGTTTAAAACCCACGTGAAAATCAGTATCAATAACTGCCGAATATAAAATCAAAACATTAAATCTATTTACGATACTATTGGTGTAAAATGAGAGCGTCAAAAAGTGATTACCTAAATGCATGATTCAAATATTATGTGTAAATTTCTGTAAAAAAGAAAAGTAAAATTTTTCACTTTTCAAAAGAAAAATCTTTCTGCAAAGACTATCGCTATAATTCTGCCACCGGGAATATAGTATTCATTGTAACTAATATGATCAACAAAACTATTAATTACTGGCATTGCAGAAATAATTCCAGAGTTTAAAGTATATTTCCTCGAGAATTCCAAGTTTTCCCTGTCACCAGAGTTACCTTAAAATGGTTATTGAATTAGATGAAAATAAACATGTGACCCCCCCCCCAATTCATGACCATGAAAATTTGACAATGTAAAATTGTCAAATGTTTCTTTTTGATAAATCTGAATCCCCAAAACATTTAAAACAATAAATTCTGAAGGATAGATACCTGAACAATGAATATAATTTGAGGACAGTTTTAGGTACTGAGATTTTTATTACTGATATTAACTGAAAAAGAAAGAAGTTGTATCAAGAATTTAAATCTTTCAACTTTCTACACTGACCTGCATTAATATTAGTAATAAAAGGGGTGATCTGAACACAGAAATATTAGGACAAAAGGCCTAAAATCAGAAGAAAACAATTTTTATCAGGAAGCTATGAAACCTATTGATCAGAGAACATGTATTTTTCTCTGTGATTTAAATATCATTTGCATAGTTTAATTGTGTAATTATCTAGCATAGCTTAAGGCTAGACTCTTGGAATAAATTAAAATTAGATAAATAAATATTACAACAAGATTAAAAAGAGATTAAAATAGATTAAGATTGCATTTCGCAATATGAAAACGGCATCACAAAATCAAAAATTTGTCTAGAGTTTTGTTCCTTATTTTGTGCAGTATACAATGAACCCTGTAGCAGAATTTTTTTGGGCTTTCTGAGACATACCTTTCTAATAATAATATCTTTCTGAAAGATACTTTTAAAAATAACAAATATACATGTTACTAATTTAAAGTAACAGAAGCTTCAAAGAAAAGAAACTTTAATTGAATATTTAACGTTTTTTTTTTATAATATTATGTTGATATTCTTGCATTTTGTAGGGGGAAAAGACAAATTATTTTTTTTTCGTCCTTTATAAATCATCATCACATTAAAAAAAAAGATAGGGAAATGCGTAGCAGTAACTACCGAAAAAAAAGATTGAAGGCAAAACCATGCAAATCAGACTCTTCAAAAGATGCGTGTTTTCATTTTTAGATTCAGCTGTTGTAATAAATAATACCGTATTAAAGATATTTGATTTTATGCTCAGAAGAAATCAATAGTAATAAATGCATAAAAAAATAGAGCGAAAACTTCCGCAGAAAAGAAAACCAAAACTTTACTTCATTACTCTTTATTTTTCATTATTCTCAAATGAGAACAGAAAGATGTTCGGATTCTTCCAAAAGGTTTTACTAAATGCACGTTTTCATTTGGAGATTCAGTTGTTGTAATAAATAATATTGTATTAAAAATATAGGATTTTAAAACTTATGTGGAAGTTAAAAGTAATAACTGCAAATAAAAAAATAGAACAAAAGTTTCTGTAGAAGGGAAAACCAAATTTTTTACTTCATTATTCTTCATTTTATTTTTCATTATTCTCAAATGAAAATAGAAAAATCACAAGAATTTTTTTCCACTCCGATGAGTGAAAAAAGCATCTTTTGAAAATAATTCTGAAGAAAATAAAAATTATTTTGAAAATTTCTGCAGAAAAGAAAACTAAAGTTTTTCACCCCCCAAAGGAAAAATCTTTCTGCAAGAACTCCGTATAGTTCTGCGACAATGTTGCCCTGTCGTCACGATTCTGCCACAGGGATAATGAATTACAATGATAGAAAGTATTTCTATTTTAAAAAATTACAGATGAGCAAATGCAAAAGTTTACATCAATAAAAATGCGGATCTTACCCTCTCTTGCATTTGCAGAAATCAAATGCAACAGTTCTGTAGGAGACTGCTTTTTCATTCAGATATTTTGCATACCTTCTGATAAAAGTAGACATATCATAAGCTAAAAAAATAAATAAAAATTATTAAAAATATTTTTAAAAAAAATATTTAGAAATATTGTTGAAATGCACTACACTTACACTGAACTCCAACTTTGTCCAAAAAACATCCAAGCTGAAAAGTACAATTTGACGATGCAAGGTACTGTGTAAATCTCTGAAGAAAAGAAAAAGAAACCATTAATATAATAATTAGGTTTTATAAGACTCCTGAGGTAAATTTTAAAAATTTCGCTGGAAGAAAACAAAAAATATAGAATATTACCACTGAAAAACAAGACACCTGAAACAATGTAAAACAAAAAATTGTAGTACAAAATATATTACATTGTTATTTTCCATCATAGAATATATAAAAAAAAAAATCTGTAATGTTTCATACAAGAATATTTCATAACAGTGCTCAATAGCAGTGGCGTAATTTTGGGGAGTGTTTCAGTGTTTGGGGGGGGGGCAAAACGCCCTCTGAAATTATACATTACTTGATTAATGAGTTATTCGGTTCGGTAAGTAAGATGAAGACACATAAAGTTTTCGTTATTCATTTTTTTTGGCAATTTAAACATTATATATTAATTAAATAAAATTAAACATAATATATAATAGCAATTAAACATATGCTATTAATTATTAAACACTAAAATTAACATTAATTAAACATTAAAAAATATGCAAATACGATCTATTTGTTAGCTCACTTAGCTCTTAAATTTTTAATTTGTTTTAATTATTAATAAATATTTTTCAGCGACCATACGAGTTGGCAGGTGTGTATATATATATGCATGTCAGAACCCACTCCAAACATGCAATAAAACTGTGCCACTACTCAATAGTTTACATAAAATTTATTAGTTGAACCTACAATATTTTTCTTTCTCTGCCATGTTGATAATGCACTATCTTGCCCATGGGTGCAAGTTGGAAAAAAGGCCAAGACTGAAAATTTTTTGACTGAAATACCTAACATACACAATACCCCCTCGACATAAGCAAACTATCTAAGAAAGCTTTACCATAATACATCAAGTTTAAATACTGTACAAAAAATATTTATTCATCTGTCTTTTGAGAAAATAACAACAGGACATAAGAAAGTAGACCAATAACGTAGACCTAAAAAATATTTTTAAGGACAGAAGAAAAAAAATTCTGATTTCCGTCTTTGAGTCAGTCTTGTTTCCGTCTTACTTCCGTCTGCGGACATTTTCGAAAGACGGAAATCCGTCCTGGGGACGGAAGACTTGCACCCATGATCTTGCCAAAAGTAAGTGGTATGGAGCGTCCTGAGGCACACATATCAATAGGATGTTTACATCAATGACAGCCTTCTGGGAAGACTTTCCACCAGTTTATAATAGGACTTCCATCACAGCTGAAGTGATTGCAATGAGGATTTGGTTGGAATCTGCGCTCTTATACGTCTCAAAGGTGACCTATGGGATTCTGAGAAGGCAGTTTTTAAACACCCATTTCGTCAAACTACATCTGTGCAAGCCTCAATGTGTGAATGCTGTAAGAGAAATGGGCCGAAATATTCCCATACGAGTTGTGAGGGCAGCATTATCCACATACCTCTCTGAATTCATGTTTCCAGCCACAAGAACGAAACAGACTCATTCAAAACTACGAGAAACTCCCCACACCATCCCTAGCAACAATTTCACCTTGGTTCCAGGTGGGCTCACAATTGGCTGAATATGGGTCCTATATAATAAACATGCGCCGAGGAACCAATACAGGGATGTCCAGATTTTTTAATATGGGTCCTATATAGTAGCAATCTCTGCTTTTATGGGGCCAATATAGGACCTCTATTGGCTGATTAATGAATATCAGGTAAATATGATAATTCTATATAGGGCCAATATTGGTAGTAAACTGGCGGTAAAATATCGGGTAAATCGGACAATTCTATCTGGGCCTAATATATGGAAAATATCTTTGGACCCTTATTGAGTCAAGATTCGTGAATATAGGTTCAATGATGGCCCAAGTTAATTTGCTGATAGAGATTATGTTTCCACCACCAAAACAACCAGGTGTACAGATACTTTTAGCCACATAGTGTAGTTCAAAATATTGTACATTAAAAGCTAAAGGTAACGAGTATAACATATTACGAGAAGTCTTATCGAGATAAGTTTTTAAGTTACTATCAAAATACTAAAAGGTACAAAAGTTTTATGTTTATAATAGGTTAAAAATTACTAGCATTCACCTTGTAGCGTCCTCTATGTTCCCTCTTTAATTTAATTTCCAACCTCTTGTAAATATATGCATTTGTTTTGTGGTGAATGGCATCAAGTTTTTGTTGCTGTTCCAAAAAGTGTATAAAATAAATTGCTAGTCTTATTCTCTTATTCCTGTCGTCATTTACTTTACTATTTGTATTCTTGTTAAGGATTGAAAAATATTGAAGGGAAAAGCTCCTTATTGAAAAATATTGAAGGGAAAACAGCTCCTTCAACCTATTGCAAGTATTTTTTTTCAATGAAAATTTATTTTTCTGCTGTTTAAGTAAGCAATATAATATGCAAAAAGTGTTTCTGAAATTGGAAACTGTTTCTTCTCATGCTGCTGGAACAGGTCTTAATGGGGAAGCGCTCCAAACCACGTACGATTACTTTTTCGGGCATAGGTTTCCATGAAATATTAAGCCTGATGACATGCTTTGAACTCCTCAAAAGTTTATTGCAACTTTTATGTGAACCACTCTTATGTACAACTTTTTAAATTCTTACATTCCAACAAAAAATAGATTAAAAACATCTTTAAAAAAATAAAAAAATTAGTTTTAAGAGCAAAATTAATTTAAAAGTTTAAATCCTTATGCCCAAATGACAGGGTTGCTACTCAAATCTGGAAAAAACATTCCCTGTGTTTTCCCTGTACATATTATACACATTATATTAAGAGGAAACACACAATCAGTGTACTCTCGAGTGATCTATATTATATTAGTCTAGCTAAACTAGTTTTAATAGCTGGAAAAACTTAAAGAAATAAGGAATAGCTGAACATACTTAAATAATGCTATAGCAGGGTTCCCACTCTTTTAACAAAGCAAAAATTAAGCACACTTTTCATTAAAAAAATTAAGCACTTTTTTGAAAAATTAAGAACTTATGCAACCAGTGACAGTGCCAATTATTTACCTTTCTAAAAACACCAATAAAAAAATAATAATAAATAATTTTATCACAATGTAAGCACTGATATAATTGTATTAATTAACAGGGCTCGGCAAAGAAGTACCAGGCTATTTTTTCAAACCCGGGTCGGGTTTTTTGAAGAAAAAAATTTCAGATTGTTAAAATTTAACGCCATTTAGATTATAAAAGTTAACACATGAAACTAATCTGTATTCCATTTTTAATGATTTCATTGAAAATGAATTGTAAAATTAAGTGTGCAGAAATTAAGATTTGCAATTTTTTTCATGTATACTAAAAAAAAAGTAAAAAAAGAAATTTTTTCATGTATAAAAGCAATTTTTTTCATGTATACTAAAAAACAAAAGTAAATAAAGAAAATTGGCAAAAACATTGAAAAATTATTACAGGAAGTTTTTATATTTCGCTACTAGACCAGCAAACATGTTATAATTACTTTTATGATGAACTTTAACAAAATTATTTCCAGCCAAACATGTTATTATGAACTAACTTTACATAATGTTACACATTTTGGTGAAAAACATGAACTAATTTTAAAGCAACCAAAAATTGAACAAAAATTAAAAAACAGTATATTAAGTTGCAATGTTAACTGAATAAAATGATTATTAAAATCTAAGGATCTTTTAGTTGAGTAGGTTTAAATTTTTATGTAACATTCTGCTTATCCTTAGTGATGGTAAAAAATTAGGACTTTAAAAAAACTTATACCAAAATTAAGTACTTTTAAGGGCCCTTATTTTCCAAAATAAAAATTAAGCAGTTTTTAAGGACTTTTAAGGATTGTGGGAACCTTGTATAGTAAATTAAATAGTTTAGTATAGTTTAAATATCACCCTTAAATATCCCCATAGGTTGTGCTGAGTAGTCATCACTTTTAAAAGACTAAAATAAGAAATAAAAGTCCCTGTGTTTTCCCAATTTGTGAAGAAAGAATCAAAATTCTTTGCATTTTCCCTGTTATTTTAGGTGATTTATAAATTCCCTGCATTTTGCAAGTTTTCCCTGTGGGTTGGCAACTCTGAATTAGGAAATATCAGGTATTTGAATAAATGCAGTATAAAAATTTCATGTGTTATTAAAAGATGGAAGGAAATCTATCATACCTCATTACCATAGCACATGAGATGATGAACTGTGATGAGAGCTTTGAATACAACGACCCAGCTTGCGTTTTGAGTCCTCTCAATTAGTAAATTTGCTAGTTGTGGAATAGATACATTTGGCTCATTCGTACAGTGCAGCAGATCTGAAAATAGAAAATATATTTAGTTCAACTCAAAAACCCGTTAATTATAAAACGTTTAAAAAATATTTCTCTTTTTTTAAATTTAAATCTCATTTTTTTACAAATATCAAAACTCCAATAGTTTATTAATGCTTAATACTACATATTTAAAAAAAAGTGCAACTAAGTATGTAATTATTACGAAACTAATCATATAAATAAAAACAGTTGTTTATATTGAAGCTTCAATAAAAAGGGCAAGACTGGGAAATTTATGGGTGGCCACTTTTTGCATTAGAAGGACATTAATAATTTTGCTTCAAAATTGTAAAAAAAATCATTATTATTATTACAAGTAATCATGTATAATTTCATTTTATTTATTTCATTTTATTGCATTAATGTATAATTTCATTTTAAATTTTATAACATAAAATAATATTATAAATTATTAACCAGTAAATCAGATATATATATATTCAAATTATTAACCAAATTAGAAAAGTCTTAACCAAAGGCAAATTTTAATAATATTTTGTGATTAGTTTTTTCCATGGAAAATTTAATTAAATTAACTGTTAAGTGAATTATTTTTCAAAATGCAGACATACTGTAAAAAACTTATAATTCAAATGCCAGATTCGAAATTGGCAAGTCGTAATACACTGCTCAAAATTATTAGGGGAGCACATGGCTCCCCTAATTTTTTTGAGCAGTGTATAATGCTACCAAAATACATTAAATATACACTGCTCAAATAAATTAGAGGAGCACATGCAGGGGTCTGTCTAGGTTTTTATGAGAGGTACCTATTTTGTGAAAATTTAGTCATAATTTGTGAAAATTAAAAATTATATTAAAACATCAACTCAAAAATATGGTAAAAATATGGATTTATCGTTTCCTACGGGATACCAAAATAAAATTTTAAGAAAAAATATTTGTTTTTTATAAAGTTGAATTTGTGAACGTACCGCTAAACAGTAGTAAATTAGGCCTGGACAGACTCCTGACATGGCTCCCCTAATTTTTTTGAGCAGTGTAGTATAGTATTCAATTGTACTTCAAAAACGATGTGAAAATGAAAAAAAGTTGAATAACTAATAACTGAAGAAAAGATCACGGACACCCACACGTGACTTATGACCTCATCGCCAGCTGATCATTTATAAATAAGATGGAGTGTTACAGCAACGCCTCCTACAAAAGAGAGCCTTAGCAGGGCTGCATAGCTTTTATGCATAATTAGTTTATGTTCTACAAGGTATTATGCCTCTCTGTGTTAAGCAAGTATATAGTGAAACAGAGCTCATTCTAGGCAGAAAAAAGGGCAGGGTGCAAAAGTTTAAAAAAAAAAAAAATTATTATTCTAAAAAGGCAATAATTTCACGTTCTATTAAAAACACGAATTCTTTACACGTTCTATTAAAAAACATTGTCATTTAGAAAAGGAATTTTTTTTTTCTTACTTAACTAAAAGTAGCAAAGCAATCATTAATTACTTATTTTCATTAATAAATTAACATCCTATGGAGTTAATGAGCTAATTAGCTTAGTAATTTATTTAAAATGCATGCATATATTAATAAAATGATAAATGTTTTTAAGTGTACGTAGTCATGATTAAATAATTAAAATGATTCATAATAATTATGATTTAATGATAGAAGTAACTGCAAACTTTTAAAGACAAGGGCAACAATGGGTTGTGATGGCCAATTTTCCTTTCCCATATAAATCTACGTATTGACAGCAATGACAAACTAAATAAAAAGAGTTAAAAATAACAGTTTAAGAAATCCATTGTTGAGTTTGGGGAAAAAGTAAAGAAGGGTTGAGGAAAGAAAGGGCAAAAAGGGTATGGAGTCTATTACATCAGGGCACTAATTTACTTCAGGGGCAACAGGGTGAATTCTTTTAACTAAAAGCGCAGCAGGGAAAGAATCGGGAAATATTATAAAATATAGTAAAAGAATCTGCGTAAAAATATAAAATGTGTCACTTAAGAGAATTAATATTCGACGGGCTTGGCTTACTAGAAATAAAATGGAAAGAACAGTTGCTAACGTAAACAAATGTTAGCAACCGATTAGGATCGAGATACCCCACACTACATAACTTGCAGATATCCCACTAAATACCTGCTTCTTTTAATGCATGTAGATTCAATATAAGTTCAATATAATTTTCAATATAAATAATGCAAGGCTATGAATTGCATGTAATTTTCTGTTAAAGATCTGCTAAACAGGCAATATTAAACAAATGTATCTTAAAATTAATAAAATGCAACTAATAAAAAACACAAAATGCGCTTATGTATTTATTATTTACCCACTGAAAAAAAATCGCTATTTTCTAGAGTATTACAATTAATAAAAAAATTATGAATTTTGGTTTGCTTAGTAAATGAATTTTTAACCTCTTAGCAAATAATTAAACAAATATGAAAAAGTAATAAATTCTTGCTTAATTAGTTTTGCTTTATAAAATTATGTTATTATATGTTTTACTGTATTTTATTTGATAAAAAAGATATAATTAACATTATAAAATCTTCTTAATGTAATGTAAAAGATATAATTAACATTGTAAAATCTCCTTAATGTAATGTAAAAGATATAATTAACATTGTAAAATCTCCTTGTGTGTGTGTGTGTTTTTCTATAAGAAAATAAGTACGGAAAAAACTAAGCTAGTTGAAGATGAAATTCAAAACACACCAACTCAATCGTCATTAGGAACGCCTTTTGTTGAGTAATATGAGAAATCAGGCATCAGCAGAAAATGACTAAAAACACCTGCTCTTAAACCAAAGAAAAGAAAAAGCTAACAAGGGACAAGTACATCACGAATTCGGTAGATTCCAATATTCCTGTAAACACTCAACATGAAAATGAAAGGGAAAAAATAGAATATCACACGGAATGCGAGATATTAAAACAACGGTATAATATGATTATTAAAGATTAGTACTTAACGATTAGGGATTTTTTATTTTTTATTAAAGAAGCAAAGAAATTTTATAAATAAGAAATCTTAAAATTATTATCTGCCACGCCGTGATATTACATTTTTACATTGATAAATATTTTTATTAAAAAAGTGAAATTTCCCTAAACACACCATAAAACTGTATTCAATAACTATCGTCCTCAAATGTTATCGTTCTCAATACTGATCATAATAACTATCCTTGTCGATTATACTCACGGTATTTACGCGGCATTTTCACAGTTTATAATGATCACACGTTCAATTCTATTACAAGAATACTTCTTTTTTAAAATATCAATTGCGATTGATATTTAAAGTATCAATTTTTTTTATGATACATAGTTAAAGTCATCACCAAAAAGCCACTATCAAAAAAAAAAAAATCACCACGGTAAAAAATAGCTTTATCTTCAACTCAACAAAGCTCCACCTCCTCTAATGGTAAATTACTTTTTTTTTTAACCTTATAAGTTCAGAAGAGCACAAAAAGAAAGAATCGATAAATACAATTTTTAGCAAAGCTTTTCCCCCCTTCTCTTAAAGTAAGTACGTATTTTATTTTACAGGTTTTTCAACAAAATGTGTTTGTATTAATTAGCTGAAATTATGATGTAATTAACTTTCAAATAATTTTAGAAAGTAAAATGCAACAATCAATGGCGCTTACATACAGTCGGACCTCTATTTAACGAAGTCGCTAAATCCCGATAATAAGTTCGTTATATAGAAAATTACCTTTTGAAATACTTGAACACAAAACAAGCTTAGATTCATAAACACTAGACATAATTAAAATAGTAATTAATACACCTTTATCTACATACATCTTCAACTAAAAAAAAAAAAGCTAAATTTTTGCATAAAACTATAGCTTCATTTATTATAAAAGTAATTTTAAACCATTACCACATGCGTAAGTTCATTGCTACTGATAAAATCTGTTAATTTTGTCTGAATTTTTTAGTTTGAAATGAAAACAAAAAGGGATTTTACAGCTTTATCTAAAACGTGGCTTCGAAAATAAATTCAAGGTCATATCCCCCATAAAATGCTTTAACAAGTTTGAAATGCTCTGAAATATTTTGGGAAATAGAGAAAGCGGATCTCAGAGAAAAGTTCGTTAAATAGAAAATTCACTTCGCTATTTGAAAGTTATTTTAGGAAGAAATTTACAAACTGTTTTTGGTTTCTCGAAAAAAGCAAATTAGAGGAAATCGCAAAATGGAAGTTCGTTAAATAAAAATCAGACTGTATTTTTTTTCTCAGAGTTGCAAAAACGATTCAGTGGGAAGTAATTTTAAAATTACATATTTGATCACAATATTTATCCTTTTTTTTTAATTTTTAGTTAGGTTTGTATTGTATTTCACTAACATTTGCATAGCTTTTAAGACAAAATTCTTAATTTAATCACTAAACAGAAATAGCTTTTTTTTTTTTTAAAGTTCAACTTAAAATTAATTGTATTTTCTTTTTATAAAGGAGTATATACTCAGTTATATAATAAAATTCGTACATTTATAAATCGGTTTTAAATTGAGGGCAATTCTCGGATTTTAAAATCTTACGTGTAAAAATATCGAGATTTTTAAACTATGCCGATATTTTTATATAAATTTATATATATATAAATATATATATATATATATGTATGTNGTGTGTGTGTGTGTGTGGAAAAACAAATAGATAACTGCCGAAAAAGCGATCAAAAATTAATGTGGATTCACAATGCAATCGTCGAGCACTGAGCGCGTAAAACAAGTCATTTCTAAAACACTATATTCTCTAGCTATAATATCGTATTAAAAATTTCGAAATTGAAAATAAAAAAAAACTTGCGGGAATAGCTGAAAAAAGACGAATAAAAAAAACATTTAAGATTATTAATTCAATAAACAATTTCTTCCCCAAACAAAACTTAAACAGCAAAATGGGAAAATCGCCCATCTGTTTTCCGAAGTTAAAAATCTGATAAAAATGTCGAGACAAGAAAAAGGTGCGCTTTCACAATTCGTAAATCATTA